CATTTATTCATTCAATTATCAATTCAATGATGGTTGAGCAATATTTAGTTCATTCATATCATTCATTCATTCAATCAATTCTCAATTCAACCATTGCCGAGCAATAAAATTCATTCATTCATACATTCATTCATTCATTCATTCAATTCTTTGTCAACATGTCAGCATTGCAAATAGAGTTGCAATTTTATTCAGAAATTTGCAACTTGTCTATGAGATATGACTCAGTCGGGCTTCGAACCCACAACCTTCCGAATGCATAGCCAGCACTGTACCCATACACTACGCTATAGGCTGCTGTAACAGTTTGGAACAGCTGTACTGTGTTGTTTAATGTGAGCTTTTGGATCAAATTCGTTTGTGTGACTGTGGTGTCAGAGGGGGGGTCAGTGGAAGTTTGCTATGTGAGGTATGTCAGAGGGCTTACACTATATATGTCAGTCAGGGGGGACATCTGGAGTATGCTCAACTTTCTCAGACAAGAAAATGTCATGCTTGTAACTTCTTGACTATCTCAAGCAATCTCACATAAATGTACATTATTGGGGTTTTCTAAACAGGGCCACAGTGTCTTTAAAGGGGGCCTGCATGGGGGGGGGGGTCCCGACAGCACTCTATGCTAAATTTTGAGAGCTCTCGATTACGCTTTATGATAAATTCCAAGTGGCTACAACGCATTGCTTGGAATTAAAACGGCGAATACGCTCTATGCAAAATGCACCAATTACGTTCTACGTTGAATTAGAGCGGCCCATCTACATTCTAGGTAGAATTAAAACGGCCGATTACGTTCTACGGAAAAGGGCATGCGGACCCCATTTAAAGACTCTTTATACCTTCCACTTGCGCACTCCCAAGACACAGGTGGTTAAAGTTTTCAACTGCCACTTGTTTGACCGTTTCATACCTTTTTGAATTCTTACAATGTTACATATCTAGTTTATTGTTTTATTCATTATTGTGAAGTTCTTACTAATTCTGTGCTTATTTCACTCCTTCTAGCCTGAAAGGAGACAATTTTGACCTCTAAATTTGACCTCACTTACCAGTCTGGAGGGGGGGATTTTGACCTCCATTTGACCTTCCTGTCAGTCTGCAGTTATACCATTTCCCCCTCACTTCCTATTATGCTACTGTATTAAAATAACTATGGAAACAGTTAACTAAAACAAACAGGCAAAGACACATAAAACAAGACCTCCATGCGCAAAGGTAATGAAACCAATCCTTCACACTCACTGTACTTCTAAAGCCTGATATGTATACACTGCGTACATGTAGTCCTTGGCCCAAATTTTTTGGCAGAGACAGACCAAGAGAAATCATTGGGTCGTTTCTGGTGTAATCCTAACCTAAAGTACGTAGTGAGTAATGCAGAAATGCTGACAGTGTCCTTGGGATGACTTTGATTTCCTGACTATGTCAGCAAGTTGTATGTAGGACTGTGCTGACTATACACAAGGTTAGCCTTGGGTTGTTGTCAAACTTTTGCAGTGGTTTTACTTTCGCAGCAGTTTTCGTGGTGACATCCCCACTGGGTACTGTGCAGCAAACAAGTCTTACATCATGTAGATGACTTCATTGCTGTACAGAACACAGTTTTCAGTTTAAAATTGTACTTTTCCTGATCTTGTGCTAAAAGACGTCAGAGAAGAAAGAATTAGTTAGTGTGGACTAAAAAAGGGTATTGAATGAAACTATGAGAAGTGCAGTGATGTCATTTTCTATAAATTATAGCTAATATGCATATCACAATCAGTCAAAACTGATGATCTAGCATGCATATCGGAGCTCCTAAACTAGCATGTCTAGATCATGAGATATCAAAACCGGAAGTTCAGCTGCAGTACCATAACGAGCCGCCAGGGGGGCCAAAATCTAATCATTTCGAGGTCTTATGTGTACCCACGTACCAAATATAAAGACAATCCATGTAAGCCTTTTTGAATTATCGTGTTTACAGACACACGCACAGACACACACAAATGCCTCTGAAAACATAGCCTTCTTGGCGAAAAGAAAACAGATTCAAGGCACAGGTAAAAATTTAAGCCCTTTAGTTTATATATGCACGATTGTCATTGTAAGTAGAGCATTGCCAAGAGAATTCCACCCTCAGTCTGTTTTTCACAGATTTCAGGGTCAGGTGACCAGGCGATAACCCTTGCTCTCTGTCCCAGGGTCCTGTGTGATAAGGTTGACCAGGTGTGGACTCTGTCCCAGGGTCCTGTGTGATAAGGTTGACCAGGTGTGGACCTTGTACCTGGGTCCATGCCATGGTATGGGGGAGATCACTGGTGTTTGTTTAACCTCATTGTCAGACTCGTGACACCACCTACTGTAGAATTTCAAATCTTGGCCATGTTTTATACCAGAGTTACATGCAGGCAAAACCTGATGGTACAAAAATGGTGTGCGGAAGCAAGTGTATGAAAATTATGAACATCAAATTTTTCTTACATGTAAATCGGCCTGCTTTGACATATGTCAAGAACTTGCGTACAGATTGCACACCGGCCCTTGAGGTAATGTGTGATCTGAACATACTTTCTTAACATACACGTACGTCAAGGCAGGCTGATGTAGAAAAAATTGACACTGACAGTTTTCATACACTGATGGGCGTGCCTTCAGACCTTCAGGAGAATTGTCTCTGCATGTAACTTGGGTCTTAAAGTCACAAAGTGTATTTTGTGGTGGCCTCTCATTACACAATTTTTTTGACCTGTAGTCTTGCCCCAAATTTGGCCCCAGGCCAAAGTTTAAGAACACACAATTTAAAAGTCCGGCTTAAAGTCCAGCATGTGGTTTGGATTGTGTACAGTTGATAAGACGTGCACGTTTTCACATGTGACGATTTACAGTACGTTAAAACGATTAGCTTTGAAGCTCCCTCTAGCAGCACCCTTTAAAACTACAGTTTCTCATAATCTGCATATCTTGTAGAGGAAATTCTACTGTCTAAGTAGAGATTCACAGTCTCCAAGTTTGGCATTTGTCTTACTTATAACCACCAAAAAAACCTTAGTAACTCAAGCAAACATACATGTAGCTATAGGTGAAATCATAAGTTAACTGAAGACAAGTGTTATTGTAAGAGGTACCTACACTGGCTACATGTCGGTAACACTGTTACTAGTGTTAGTGTTAGAGTTCAAGTAGCACTGAGTCCTGTGTACAAAATGTACTTCAGCCCGGAATTGATTGTGACACTGGCTGAAAAATGTAGGAAATAGAATTTCCCGTAGCTTGTTACTTGTACATTTGCAAAGTAATAGGCCAGGAAATAAGGTAAATAGGTGTTCCCAGAAAGAATTAATGGTAATTTATCCAATGAGCTTATTCATTAAAGTGGTTGGTAGTAGCTATAGTATTATGAAGGGAAAGTAACAAGTACTGGCTACTATGGGAACCCATTAGTCCTCTTGAACTTCTGAATCTGAGGACATATGACTCCACAACATATAAGGGCCTTTCATTCTTTGCTGTCATTTTGAAACGAAACTTCTTAGAAGGTTAGGTGCAGGTAGACATCAGAAACACATGAACAGCTCCAATTTTCCAAGAACTATCGTAGAGTAGGTGGAACTCGTTGACACCAAGTACCATCACTACGAAAGCTTTAAACAACTCCTGCAGTTAAATGTGCAAAGATTGGGTGTAACAAGTCGTTCGGTGTAATGTAGCCAGCTACCGCCATGCCGCGTGCCTGCGAAGCTGTTATGTTAAGCCAAAGGACGGTTATACCGGCTTTACTGATACAGAAGGCTTGTGAAGCTTGTGTGTTATGCTGGAGGGCGGTTATACTGACTATACAGATACAGAAGCTGGTGTGTTACACCGAAGGGCAGTTATACTGGCTATACAGATACAGAAGCTGGTGTGTTACACCGAAGGGCGGTTATACCGGCTATACAGATACAGAAGCTGGTGTGTTACATCGAAGGGTGGTTATACCGGCTATACAGAATACAGGAGCTGGTGTGTTGTGCCAAAGGGCGGTTATACCGGCTATACAGATACAGAATGTTCCCTACACTAACCTGCATACATGTACATTTGTACAGTATGCAGGCAGTATTCCAATGGCCTGTTTTTATCACCTTGATCTACAGAACCAATCCTCCAGGATGTAACCTCTTCTGGTTGCTAAGCGACCATTGCTGGCAGTTAAATGACTGACATGTCTAGCCTAATTAGATTAAGCCCCGTAGATTGTCTGTGTGTGCTCGGTGTTAATCATGCCATAGGCAATCAATGCCTCCCTGGGCCTTGGTGGCATTATCTTCAGTTTAATACAATTAGCCCTGCATTCTGTTGCCTGATCATATTTCTCGTTTAGATTTTTGTGGGTTCCCACCTCAACTAGCTGGGGTTGGATGCCAATTAGGCTATAGCTGTCTGGGTGTACGTGTCCGGTATGGAGGTTACTTACCCACACTGGCCTCTTTGGACCACTGTTCTCTGTGAGGCAATTGAATTATGCATTTTGGTTGCCCTGTGAGGAACCCAAAATTGCTTCAAGTTTGATACTGTAATCAAGGTTGTGAACATTGTTAGGAGTGTCTTGTAATAATAATAATAATATTATACTACTGTACATATAATATACTACAGATAGTACATATTCTAATTACTAAGTTAATATCTTTTTCAATATTTGAACTTGAATTGTTGAAGGACTTAATGCTTAATAGTAAGTGCATGATGTACTCAAATATTATGGTAGGTTTAGGTATGTAAAAGATGTTAAATGTGCAGTAGTATATAGCATATTCTGAACATCTAAGTGTCGGAAAAATGATAAAATCATTGCTATTGTGCTTTTCTTTAGAAATGAAACAATTAGTTTTTGCTGACATTATTTATTTTATCTTGTATGGTGCACCCAAAAAATTTTTGTGCACCCAATTTTGTAGGTCGGGTGCACCAGTGCAGCTATTCCCAAAAATGAATTTCGAGCTCTGAATGAATTTCAACATTTTCTGTTTTTTTTGCAGCCGTGGGGACGCTGGGCCAACCTCCCTAAGAAGGAACAGGAGAAGATGCCTGAGAGTGCGTGGAAGGTTCTGTTCTACTCCCTGTCCTGGATATACACATCTCACCTGCTGTTAGGGAAGGGGTACACCTTCTTCCAGGACCCAGCTTCTGTATGGACAGGTGAGTTAGGACAGGTGGACATGATGTGCATGTGTTTATGTGTGTGTGTGTCTGTGTGTGTCAGTCTGTGTGTTTGTGTATTTCATGTGTGTGTGTGTGTGTGTGTGTAATTTTTATGTGTGTGTTGTGTGTGTGTGTGTGTGTGTGTGAGTCTCTGTATATATGAGTGTGTTTGTGAATTTGTGTGTGTGTGTGTCTGTATCTGTGTCTGTGTGTGTTCATACATGTATCTACATATGTGTGTAAATGTGTGCATGCATGCATGCTTGATCCAATGTTTATACAATATCATTGGTAGACAACAACCTTTCTTCTTATTTCATTTATTTATTTCGGCTTACAAAGAAGCCAGGGTGTCCCAACTAGTCAAAGACTATTACTAAGGGACACCCAAGTTTCTTCTTAGCCTATTCCAGTCTAATTTTTCAAGATATGTTTTTTAGCATTTCCCTTCTTGACTTATTTAGATATATGCAGTTGTCAACATATTTTTTATGAAAGATATTCTGTATTTGCTAGATTTAATCTTTCCGTTCACTCACTCACTCACTCACTCACTCACTCACAAACTTACTCACTATTCGGTGTAGCATCTGTTGTTCGGCATCTTCCGATTTTAAAGTCTGTATTTTTTGTTTCCCACAGGTTGGCACAAAGGGATGTCCATCCCCACCGACATCTATGCCCTGTACCTGGTGCAGTGTAGCTTCTATCTGCACTCCATCTATGCAGTGCTCTACATGGATGCCTGGCGCAAGGATTCAGTGGTCATGCTCATCCACCACATTCTAACCCTGTCTCTCATTGGCTTCTCATACATCTTCAGGTGAGTCAGGGCTGCTGTTGGCCAATGGGAGAAGTGCTCTCATGTAGTTAGGAATGTATGAATATACATTATTCAAATTGCCTACCCCATTAGAGGGTTTATGTTTTTGCTGTGTTTCCTCTTCTTCTCCAAACCAATAAGGTCAATGACCCTAACCAGACATCTGTCACCATGGTTACTAGTGTTGGGTTACATCATGTTGCAATTTTATAGCAAGAGGGATTTAGACTCCTGTCTGACCATATATATGGATGTGTTTGAGTAAGAATTAACAGAGCAGGCCATATGCGAAGGTTAACATTATGCATTTGCTTTGGAAATGTTACCTTTTCTAGTTACTCTATACTGAAATATGTTATCGATATCGTAAATGAATCGAAACTGAAGTGATTGACATTGATTGACATTGTGATTGACATTGAATATTGTGATTGACATTGATTGACAGGTATCACAACATCGGCGTCCTGGTGATCTGGCTACACGACATCACCGACATTTTCCTGGAATGCACGAAGGTCAACGTCTACTTCAAAAACCGCGGCGGGAAATATCACGCCATGAACGACCACCTGTCCAACTTTGGCTGCGGCATGTTCGGCCTGACCTGGTAGGTTAGAGAAGCCATGTTTAGAAGTTATGATATCATATTCATAAATTACTTCTACATCAGTTTCCCTCAGGCCACATCATTTTAGTTGGTTGATTCTCAGATTTTTTTTTTAGAAAAATATAAAGCAGCTACGTCGGTAAAGGTTAGACATCCAGGTAATAAGATATGCCATGGCCAGAAAACAGTTACAAAAGCAACTGGATATGATTTTGGGAAAAATATGACTCCCAAAATCATATCCAGTTGCATGAGTAACTGTTTTTTTTTTGTGTATAAAGCAGCTACTACTGGTTAGGCCAAAATATGATTATTTTGAGCTGATTCAGAACCTGACATTTTTTGTTTTGCAAATCAGAAAAAAAAGGATCTTTTGCTTTAGAATTTACTTTACTTTCTTTACTTTACTTTAGAATTTACTTTACTTTCTTTACTTTAGAATGTCTGAGAGCCAAGGTACTAAATTCATCTGGCCAACATAACCATAGATTCTGAAACAAGGCATGCTCACAAGTCATTCAAATCTTTTGCTTTCAGTTTTGAGTGTTTCGCCTGAGGCACAGAATTTGAGGGGGGTAGGTGAACTTAGGGACAGGGGGGATACACACAGGCACCCCCTGTACCCCCACCCCCCTTCTTGATTCTGGGTAGAAGACAGTGACTTGTGTGTCTGTGTGTTGTTTTCTTCCCCAGGGGCGGAATCGCCTTGCGCAGTCTCCAGCCTAACCTAACGTGTACAGGTAATCAGTCTACCAGTGTTGTGTTTTCATTGAAAACACTAATTGTTTAACATGTTAAATTTGCTTTCAGACTAGGAAACTCATCTGAATGTCAGTCACAATGTGTTATATTTACATGATACATTGTGTGTACACCCCTGTTACAGTTTACCATGAAGGTTTAAGCATGATCCTTACTGAAGATAGATTTTAAACCTCAAAACTGTGTTGAGAGGTTTTGCTGACATAATTTAACTATGTTGTGTACCCAAAATTTTTTCTTCTGCCCACCTACATGTACATGTTTAAGTTAGGTGAACCAATGCCAAAAATGCCTTCTAATGCCAAACATACACACTGTTCTATTTCTTTATTTTCTTCTGGACTCTAGGAGTGCAACATGAAGAAACTAACATCTTCAACTGTTCAATGCTGAATTAATACATACCGGTACTTCTATATTCCCTACTCAAATCATGGAAAGACAGATGCTGGCTGGATGTAGATATATTTCTAATACTTCCCTAACACATGCACTGATGCATTGCTTTACAAACATGCAAAGTCTTTACACTTTTGTCACTTGACAATATACTGACTACTCAACTGCTTCCTTCAACCGCAGTGCTGGCTGACGCTTTCTCCCAGTGCTCTCTTGCACATTTCAGCACGTTGGCAGAACGTACTGCACTTACACGAAACCCATGATGTATTGTGCATAAAACTTCGGCAGAACGTCTCATACAGTCAAACCTGTCCGTCCAACCAACTGTTTAGGGCAACCAACTGTTATCAACAACCACATTCAAACAGTCCCGTCCCATTTTACATAGTAAGGACCCCCTTCCAGGCAACCAACTGTACAACGCAACCAGCGGCCACTTTCTTGTGGTCCCTACGGGGCACGGACACCCTACTCAACAACCAGATGATGGCATAAGGACAAGCGATCTAGATCTTGGTGCGTGGGCACAACGCACATGTGGAGTTTGGAACGACACGACCAGAGTAATATTATGCTTCAATAAAAGAAACTGATAATTGTACAAATATAGTTTTACTAATATAATTTCGAAAACAAATCGAGATTAGATCGTGCTGCATGCTGTGCACTGACCGACAAAAAATCTAGCGGGCCCGATTCTCTCACGCCGTCTGCACACACACGTACCGCGCTTGCGACAAGAATAACACATTGTAATTTGAGAAAGCATACGGTTAAAACATGGGAATATTGTGCATATCCACAAATATTTCTATAGAAAACACAATCGCTGGAATCTAAAATGTTGTCCTGGGTTTTATTTAGTGCGCGTTTTGTTTCTTGTTTTGAGTCTTTTGACGGCGCGCGAAAACCACGCTTATCTCTACACACTGCCGGCGCCTAGTTCCGGCGGATTGAAGACCCAAATCGCGTCAAACACACCATAAAATCACATACACACAGATATTTTTCCCCAAACTATTCTTTGAATTCGTTGTATGGTCGTGGAATTCCATGAAAAGCAGCGTTTTTTATGCTTAGAAGTGTTTTTTCCTCGGCATTTCTGTTTCAAGATGGCGGCCGCGCTTGGGTCACCCCGCGGGTCATCGGAAGGTTCCATTTCTAAAGGGTTGCTGATTACTTTACTCAATTTATTTTTGACACGTGCGGTCAGCGCACGCAAATCAAATATGAATTAACTAAATTTTATATCTATCTAGTCAGTTATAATTGCTTACAAACGCCTTTATAAACTTGAAATTTCGTTATGTATTTTTTGCTGCATGTTCATTGTTCCCCTTCACAGTGGATTGGTTGTTGTTGTTTTCCAAGCCAGCGCCATCTTTGTTCTCCATTTTGTGATCGCGAACGAAGTTTTCCGTCAAATTTCTTAGCCCAAAATGACCTTTTAGGAATTTTTGAAGTCACATTAAGTTGACTGCTGTAATGTTGCGCCAGTATTGAGTAGTCTGCAAAAGTTGCCGACACAGAACCTGTAATTGCGGCAAGAAAATATCAACGCGGCGTCGGTATGTCCTTGGCCAAAAACAATGGAGGACTTCTTCAGCAGAAAGGGAAAAAGACTCAAAGGCAGAACGTTTCACTTTCTTATTTTCGTTGCATTATTTAGGGACTTGTAAAATTAAATTTCAAACCCAGTTTCGTAATAGAACAGTTGTTGTATCAATTGATGAAAACATAATCGAACAGTACTTAGTAGTGACTAGTCTAGAGATAGCCAAGTACACATGATGTATTTTGTCATACTTCTTGTCGCTATTTTCCACTTTTTTGCCTCAAATTCTACGATATGAAGTATAATTTGCATCAGTCACATGATTGTTAATTTAGAAGACTGAACTGAAAAATTGTGTAATCACTTTGACTTCAAAGTCATGTGTGTGTGATGTCAATAAAATCTCACCATTAAATTGTACTCTGTATTTTCTTTTTTGCTTATTATTTGTAAGTAAGAGCCTACCCTGCCAAGATACCAACCAGAACCCCCCCCCCCAACTGGACCATCCAACCACTCCCAGTCAACAACCATTTTTCCTTGGTCCCTTGAGTGGTTGTTGGATACAGGTTTGACTGTATAAGGTTTTATTCGCGCATATAAGGTTAACATTCCTTCTGTAGTTTCCAAATGTTATGTCGGAAAAGGTATCCTTTGTTACAGGCAAAATTCTGAAGCAACATTGACGAAACTTCCAACGAAAAACGTGAAAAATCAGGATAGCAAAGTTCTTTCATCACAACCCTGGTTTACAGTAAACCAGTCAGAATTGCCCTGATGAAGATGACAGACGGTCACTGAAACGTTGGCTAGTGAAAAATAAATGGTTGTGATAAAAAGAACTTTGCTATTCAGTCGTTTACCAACCTGATGAAATTATTTACGGGTGAAAAATCAGGGTTTCACGCAGGCGCAGTATGTTCTGCCAACGTGCTCAGTATGTTACAAATCCTAATGCTACGTAAGGTATGATCTAACACACTGATCGCTCGCCCCCCTCCCCCCTCCAGGTTTGTTTTCCGACTGTACTGGTTCCCCCTGAAGGTGCTGTACTCCACGGGACACCTGAGTAGAATCTATGTGCCGTACCTGCCCTTCTACCTGTTCTTCAACGTCCTGCTGTGGATTCTGCTGGTCATGAATGTCTACTGGTTCTCTGTGAGTAACTCCAACTTTTTGTTGTATAGTTCAAAACACAGTTTAAATGCCAGACACAGCGTATGCTAAACAATACACTACCTTACTGTGTCCGCCTACTGAATGACAGTTAACCCTTGTCCTGCTGGCATTCCTGGCACAATATTTTTCAATATTTTCATGTCTTAATTAGATTAAAAAGAAAACAAATTTTTTTGCCCTGCAGTGGCATAGTTACTTCCGCATTCGTTGCGTTTCGCTGCGGTGTAATCCGTTGCACGAGAAATACCCCCAAATCGTACCTATACAGGGTGTTATGTAGATGGTACTGAATGTGCCGCGCAACATATGTTGCGCACAGCAGGACAAGGGTTTTAATATTAGTTAACAGAATTTTACGTTGTGGTAGTAGTGATTTTCTAGGATTTGTGACTTGTTTTAAGTCTTACTTGTCTAAGATTTGAATGAAGTATTTGTGCACAGAACTATTATCTATTAACACTTAAATTACCAGAGGTCTCCCCATAAATTCTTAGGGGAGAGGTGCTCCCTAATCGGTTGATGAAAAATCAGCGAATTTTCAAGTAAATACTAAGAGAAAACTCTATAAATTTTAACATTTTGGGAGGGGTTCTAGGATTTTGGGGAGAGGGGGAGCACCCTTGCTTCATTGCTTGGGGAGAGCCCTGATTACCTACACTTTCATAGCCTAGTTAAAGAACTTTTTTCCTTTTTTTCTTCAGTTCATCATGATCTTCCTGTTCCGAGTGCTGACAGGACAGATGTCTTCGGTGGACGACATCAGAGAAGACGACATCGAAACGAAACCCAAGAAAACGGGGGCGAAAGAAACACCCCTCATGAACGGGAGCCCGAAGGTCAAGAATGGACCAAACGGGCCTTTGGAGAATGGGTAAGTGTCGTGTGGACTGTTTATTACCTACATGAAAAATGGAGGTATTGTTTTTGGCATATCTGTCTGTGTGTCTGTGTATTTGTGTTTGCGCACATTTGCGGCCAGCATAACTTTTTAACCTTTGGATGGATTGTAATGATATTTGGTATGTGGGTAGGTGTTGGGTAGGCAGAGGTCAAGGTCGATTTTGGGCCTCCTGGTGGCTGACCTTGGTACTGCAGCAGAACTTCTGGTTTTTGTATCTGTTGTCCTGGACATGCTATGGTTTTGATTTTTAAGTGGTGGATAGCTTTTCCTGTCAGGAATAAGTAGTGTGGTTTTGGTCCCCCTGGCAGCTTGTTCTGGAGCTGCAGGGGGAGTTTCTGGTTTAGTGTTTTGTTTTAAACGGCATGTCGGTAGAACGTACTGCACCTGCAAGAAAATCAGATTTTTTGCAGTTTTTGTTGGATGTTTGGTCAATGTTATTTTGCCTATTGCAGATGATATCTTTTCTGATATAATCTTGTTATTCATTCAAACCTTACAGTTCGGTATGAGGCACCTTGTACTTACAAAATGTTCAAAACTGGTGTGTTACGCCTAAAAAGGCGTTTTACCAGTTATATGAAACAAACAATGGTTTAGATACTGCATAAAACAATTTATCCTGTTACTGTTAACATGTTCTCAACTAAAAACAGAAATTCTACTTTGTTGTAGAGTTTGATTTGTCTTTGAATATTGTTTACCTGGATGTCTATATATAGTAACCTTCATCAACGTCTGTCTCTATGGTTACAGGAATGCAAAGCAGGAGAACCACGCCCACGACGAATCAAAGAACAACGTCATCAAAAGGCAACGACCAAAAGCAACCATGGAGTAGCGACAATTCGCATTTCTCTCAGGCGACCTTCACAACCAAGGTCAACTTCTATTCTTTCAAAATTGTATTATTATGTTGTATCCTTATCAATTTGCCACTTAATGTTGGGGTAGTGTGACCAATCAGATTGCTCCAAGGTCATGTGGTTGGGTCATGTGATGTATATAGGTTGTGATTGGTTAGATAATTTAGTAATGATGAGACCTGAGAATTATGGGTCAATGTCACTGGCTACTATTATCTGAGGTCATTCCATAGCATCAAGCACTTTGAAAACAAAGCGAATGATGTCGAAACTATGGTAAATGGGTATTTAGGAGTGTAAAATTACTAGAACAATGCAAGAAATGCCCATCTGCTCAATTCGAGACAACATTTGGTACCTTTGCCAGTTGTTTCATGCTATGGAATGGTCATGTGATCTGTAGGTCATGTGACTGGTCATGTGATCAGTCATGTGATCAGGAAGTCATGGCCTACAGATTTCAGAATTCACTCTTCTTTTTTTTCTAAGTTCCATCTATTAAGAGGACATGATTTGATATTGTAATTTCACCTGAAGGGAGGCCTGCTATGAATGATTATGTCTGAAAAGAACTGTATGTGTACTTATGATATTTGTCAAGAAAGTAAAACTGGACATTTCCAAAATTCACCTAAAATTCAGCAAGAACTTCAAACACAAATTTACTGAATAGCTGTTATTATTATTATTATTATCAAAAGAGAAGCTGATTTTATACTAGGAACTGAACAAATTTTATGAAGTCCACTAAATATCACACAGAACAAACTTTAAACTGAAAGAAGAAGTTTTTCTGGCTCTAGCGTTAGCATTTCTGGGTTTCAAAGACTACTACTGTACCAGTAATTATGTTAAAGACCCTGTAAAAAAAACTTTTTTCCCTCTTTCCCTTCTTTATCCTTTTCAAATAATTGTACATATGTATGCCCCGGAAATAGTTTACAGACGGAAACTTTCCAAAGTAAAGTGATGAGCACAATTGTGGGGACTCTGTCCCTTTTCTGTAGGAGTGCAATACGACTTGTGCAAGTGCAACTCTCATTGTACAAGTGCAAAGCGAATTGTGCAGGTGCAAATCATTTAAACTTGGATAAGGATCATTTGGCCCTTTCTGGCACAAGAAGGATGCGTGAGTGTGTGTTAGATGTTTGGGTTATGAAATATGATGTTGTAAAAAGGATTTGATGAATATGTGGCATAACCTATGAATGTATTCTGTCTATCAATGTCTCTGGGAATAATATTATGTAGGATTTATGTTAAATCTGCCAGTAAAAGGGTACATAACGTCAGGAAAGTCAGAAAACTTTCCCAGGGGTATCTGATGATAATACCTGTAAATTCTCAGTCCCATTGCTCACACTAGACTCCTTATTTTGGCAGAGAACAAGAATTAAACTTAACCAGAGAAGGTAGAAGGCGTATCCCACAATACATTGCCGTTTCCTGTCTATCCAACATATATATGGGAAAATTGGGCAAAACTTAGAGGCATCTTTGCTCGTTCCACAAACCCGGGCCAGCTGGGGGTTAAAGATCACAGGGAACTCTGGGATATGCCTCCTGCCTCCTCTGAAAAACTTAACATTCAGAAGAGGAATGTCGAAAAATGATTTGGAACTTGGCTCAAGAAAGCTACAAAGGCGTATGTTACCGAAACGGAGTAAAAAAAAATTTAGATTGTGAAAAGAACAAAAAATTGATGTTCATACTGAAATGAGGCGTCTTTTGTTGGCAAGGGAGACTGTCTGAAACTTGAAGGGGAATGAAATCTCAAATCTGGGACTGATTCCTTTCAACTCGATGTAAAATGTGATGTGAATTTCATGGTACAAACGTAGGGTAGCTCCTTGGAGTGTTGTATGATTGTGTACTAGAGAAAATGCAGAGCTCCGTGGAGTAAAGTGAATTAGCTCCTGATGTGGAAGAGTAGTGCAGTAGTTTCTCCATTGAACTTGTAGGAGCTTTAGCAGAACTCCACAGACAAAAAAGCACCAATGTAATGTATAGGATTGACAACACGTAGATCTGTGGAATTATAGAACTGCTTTTAATTAATTCCATTGAAATGCATAGTTCCATGAAGCATAGACGTATATAGCCATTCTCTGCAAACTCCTTTTAAATGTAACATGTGAAACAATATGGCATAATATCATTATCTAATCTAATGTAGCTAAGTGTCACTGAATGTACAAACTGAAAATTCCATTGTCTTAGGTGAGAAGTTCATGTATTAGTGTTCTATTTATGGATCAAATGATAAATGATACTTGAAAATATCTGGTCTGCCTGCTATGATGTTCACTGGTAAGTTTTCGTCAATGGCTCAGGCGCATTTTTTAGTAAAAGAAGACACGACACTCTTGCATGTAAAGCACTCAAGCTGGCTACGAAGTTATCGATTTCAAAGGAAGTCAGCAAGCTAGCTGGAGTCCTTCTGATAGTTGTTTCCTTGTGGAAAGGCACATACTTCGTTATGCAAAGTCTCGTGTAAATTGTATGTATCAGAGGCACTCAAGGTTGGGAAACTGTTAAAATTCAGGCCAGACTTTTTTTGTTGGGGCCTGAGTCAATGACAACTTCTCATATCAACCATCACAATCCGTCCTACATGTAGATGTAGATCAAAATAAACTACCCATCATGCACCATTACCCATGATGCATTGTTACCCACAATGCTCCACTACCCATCATGCACTGCCTAGTGATACATCGTTACCCACAATGCTCCACTACCCATCATGCACTGCCTAGAGATAGAACATGGTATTTTAAATGCTTGTGAGGTTTTGTATGAAATGATACACGTAGGTTTACTTGTGGTTAGTGGTCAGGGATGGTTGTACGTGTAACCAGCATATGTTGTGCCTATGATACGTGAACCATACCAATCCTCTGAAACAAACAGTAACAATATTGGGAAGGTTGGAAAGTCATATTACACTTTCCTAAAACGGGTCTTATGTACATTCCTTAAGCATACAAGCATTTGAATCTATATCTAAAGGTACACAGTCATATACAAGTCCCAAATGTAACGCTTAACTTGGAAAGGTCTTGAATGGCTAGCTTCAGTACATAATTGTGTAGCACTTCAGATGTTTTGTTTTTGGTACGAGTATTTGAACCTGTGGTTGAAGTAATGCAAACATCTTGGAAAAAACAAAACAACAAGGATTGAATTGTTGCCTCATCATCTACATTTGTAATATTTGTTGCCACATTAGAAGTTTTTTTTTCAGCTCTATTAATAAATTGTTATGAGTGATGCCAAAATCACATCAGACGTACATGTAACTATCCAACAGCATGAAATGATGATTTAACATTTTATTATCAGGTAACTACACAGGCCACACAAAATACTGAATGTCACATAAATGTTTTCAGTTTGTTGTACATGTATCAGGTCCATCCGAGTGTTTTTCGTGAATAATAACACATGCATTGCCTTTTGTAGACATACATGTAATGATTAAAGCCATACCTAAGCTAGATGCTGCATTGTTTAATATCCTGTCATTGTAGCACAGTATTGTGGTTCTTTTTCTGCATCTTTCAGTGTTAAGCCAAATGGGGGAGGGGGTGTAGCACAATGTTGTGGTTCTTTTTCTGCATCTTTCAGTGTTAAGCCAAATGGGGGGAGGGGTTGATTGTGGAAGTTTCCAACTACATAGTTTACCTGAAGTAACAACTTGTACGTAAAAAGCCTGTAAAAAGCGGTATGTGTTTTGCCCCCCCTCCCCCTCTCCACTGCATATTTGTTGTAAACATTCAAGAATGAATGACTTATAATTCAGCAGTCTGTCAGATGCTATACAATACTAGATTTCTGTTATCAAATTTGGATACCACAGCTTGTAATCCTTAGCCTCTAAAAAGTGCAGCATTTTGACAAAAATGTTGAGAAAATATCACACATTTTGGACAAACAAGCTAAATGTGCTTGCCCCCCTCCCTCTATAGCGGATGTACTGTGTTCTAATCAAGCATTTTTGCAGCCAATTCTTGCTTCTTTCACAAGAAATCATCAAAAACCTTTCTACATTTTTACTATCGCAGTATATTATGCATTGTTGCGATTCTTTTACACTTAAACCCCTAAATTCCCCCACCCCAAGCATTTTGAAATAGCCATCCTCCCATAAAAAGTATTGTAGATCATCAGCAAGATATAGTCAATACCAGTGAGCCAACTTGCAAAAGTAGCAATAGTAATAACATGCTTCTAACACTAATATTGAGAATTCAGCACACTTGTGTATATAAATAGTGATTTCAACTCAGTGAAGATAATACATGTAGACCATTTAACTCTAGCCAAATGTTTTGTTCCTAATCTTTTGCACTAATTATGTTTGTCTTATTAATTCTGAATATATTTTTTGATTGGATTTGTTTGTTTTCAACTTTGTGCAATACACTGAGTTGTTAAAGGGTAGAATATTTTTTGATTCACTCGTTTTGTTGGAAAGATCTTCATTTCATACATTTGTATCTTTTGGCTATTTTCTTTTGCATGCTTAAAATTTGAATGGTAAAGAGTCGTTCAACTGCTGTTGCACTCTTGCTTTTCTAGAGCTGTAATTAAAGCCACGAAAATGCAAACTTACCACATAACACTATGTAGGGACAATCAAGCAAATGCTATATATTCCACCCCACCCCCCTCCCCAACAATTGCTTGGCTAAACTAACACTGTATAAAATGAATTTTTGTAATAATTACTTTCTTTGAGCTTGTTTCATAAGAATATTCCACCCCATAATGTAGCTTACAAATAAATCAATTTGTGTATTTTTTGAGGCTGTATAATATTAATTTTGTTCATTTTTATGCATAATTATTTGCTTTGCTAGCTTGTTGGTTCATACATTTCAACAATGAATTTCTTTTATTGTTTCACAAAATGCCTCCAAAATTTTAGTACTTTCTGCTGGCACTTAAATGTAGTTTGTTCATGCCATTTCCCCTCTCAAAATATCAATAATCATAATTTTTATTCATAATTGAGGCAAGCAGTTGCATAAAAATGTTTGTTTTGCGTCATATACCAGATTGTTGAACATTACATGAATTATCCCTTTGTTAAAAAAAAACATCATATATTTTCCAGAATCACATCACTTGAGTCGCATAAAATTTAGTTTCCACCCAGCTCTGCTTTTCAGCCTTCTCTCTCAACATATGTGAGGAACAACATGAATGTGTTTGTATTATTTTTTGGCTAACCCTCAGTTGCAAATCCTTTTTATCAGTACAATTAGGTAGCCAAGTGTAGCCCAGAGATACCATGGAATTGATATTGAATCAGTTCAGGTCATCCTCTATGAATGCCTACATGTATGCTTATATATGCATATTTTGGACCATCCAACATCATATTTTTCAGTTTACTTTGTTTTTCTGATTCAAGGTATGTATGTGTCCTGTACTAAACTTGTACAATTACATCTGTGCTTGTTTATCATACTGAGATTTTTGTGGTCAAATACATGTATCTAAGGCCAGACATAAATTCACAATGAAGGAGTGATGTTGTTGATACAAAAGTTTGTAAATTGTGTGCTGCTATATTGTATTATTATTAAGTTCAATTTTCCTTTCCATCAGAATTGCACTTCTGTTTTTTGTATTTTCTGTATTTTTGATTTACTACCTGTATGAATGTACAATTATCCTGAATAAAATGTATAGAAACAACTTTTGTGATGTCTTTGGTCAAGAACATACATGTAGCATGTACAAAATGTAGTGTCTAGCAGTTAGCACACTTCTTTTCTTCTAAAACCTGTAGCTATGACATTGGCAATATTGTCACAGAAAAACAATCATAGGTGCATTGTATGATGTATGTCATTTGGGCTTTTGGTACTGAATGCTAATGTTGAGACCCAGCCATACCCAATGTTTTCAACAGTTACTGAACTGGCCACGAAATCCCAAACCCTCGCCCTAATAAAAAGACGAAAAAAAACTTCCCTGTGACTTCATTTATTGCAATTCTCTTCAAACAAGCTGGATACATCTGGGAATAATTTCATCAGGTTGGCAAAATACTATTGGAAATTTATCGTTTGATGCATGGTTTTCCAATGTTCTGGTCACTTTTTTCAGGGCAACTAGATCTGATTTATACTGCAGCTAGGTTTAGCTACTGCAATGTTACAAATGATAATAAAGAACCCTCTTGATACATCTTTGAACACTGACACAAATGTAAATCAGGATTTTTAGCAGTACATTTACATGTATTTTTGCAGTTTTCATGGTCACTTCTGTGCTGCAAGCTTTCAAATACTGCAAACAAATAATTCGCCAACTTTCTTTTTGCTGTACCTGCTGCCACCACCAACATATAGTTCCTTGAACGTCCATTTTTCTCAGACTGCGAACTTAAGCTACGGTAACCGCAAACATTAAGTGACTTACAGTATTGTTTTATTGTAGTTTCTATTAAAGATAAAACTATGTAATCAGTTGTTAAAGTGTTTGTCCTTCTCTCTGATGGTCGGCTAGCCACTGTGCCACGTCGTCTTCGCTCTGTTGTCTCCACTTGATGTTGACCCTGGCTCTCTCCTGTGCCTGTTGAATGGCTCGTGTGGCTGTACCCAACTCTGGGTGGCTGGACACAAACTCCTGCATCTACAGTGAGATGGAGAGGAGTTTGGATTTTTTACAAAAATAATTTCATCACGATGACACAACATAGTATATTGGGATTTTTTTGTGCACAAGGTCATGTTGATTTGATTATATGGATGACATAATAAATCCCTTCTACTATAAAATTGCAGCATTATGTAACCCAACACCAGTCACCATGGTGAGAGACGTCCACTCAAATCAGGTCAGAGAAGAGGAAGCGTAGCAAAAACAACATGTTTTCCTTTGGTAAACATATATAAAATAAGTTCTTTACCTGTTGTAGTTCTTCCTCTGTGTTGAAGTCTTCTGTCACTCCTAGGATCAGGCCTGTCAGCCCAAACAGGGAGCCTCCATAACTGCAAAAGAATTTTTTGAAAAAATAACAAACATCTTGCAACCAAAAAAATTTAACAAAATTTTCCAAATGTTACAAATCATCTTTAACCATCCAAATTGAGTCATTTTTGAAGACTTAAATAACTAAACATAAACCAGCATTAATTGTGTTTACCGAAGGAAAACATTGTTTTTGCTCAGTTTCCTTTTTTTTCTTCCATTCCAAACACTGACCTATCTGTCTCTCACCATGGTAACTGGTGTTGTGTCACCTCATGTTGCAATTTCATAGTAGGCAGGATTTAGACTCCTGTCACCATATATATGAATGTGTTTGAGTAAGAATTAACAGAGCAGACCATATGCGAAGGTAAACATTATGCTTTTTGCTTTGCTTTACCTTTCTAGTTACCGTTAGAACTGCTTAGTATACATTACAATAACAATTTGTTTGTCTTTTAATAATTGTAGATACTCACCTATCAAAGATATAGCCCCAGTTCTGGTTTAAAAAGTTCCAAACCATCATCTTTCCGAGTTTATTACCGGAAATGGCTACGATGGTATTCAGTGCATCAGCTTTGCGTACTTTTGTAGAGTCAATGGTCCAGTCCAGATACCTAAACATGATGATATTGGACGTTACTGGCAAAGGTAATGCCTGAAGAAAGAACCTTGATATCAATTTTATTGTGCCCCCCTCCCCCATAACTAACTTTACCATGCATCTAAAAGAGATAATACAGCTCTCTAAATAACAAAAAGAGCCAAAATGTAGCTATGATCAAGATATCATCTTCCTCTTGTTCAATCCCATCGTTAGAATCAAATCACTGCCTAATATATTGAAAAATATAGCTTTTATTTTACGAATAGCACGTAAAACATTCCCTGTCCTTGGTGCTGAAAACCTGGTTTTCTCATTAAAACAACAAAATCACGTCATTGCTTCTTATACAAAGTGTTTTCAGTAGAGAAAATGCATTGGGAGGTCTTAGTGGTAGATCTAGTACACATAAAAGTCCACCGGACATGGTTTTGATGTATATCAGTGGAGGTTTCCATTGATGAGCAAATGGTTCGGGCTGTACCTGCTTAGAACGTATTGGTCTGCAGTGCACGCTAAAGCCGACAGGAGGAGCGCTTTCTCGGAGGCGACCGTGTCCGTGCTGAGGTATTTCTGCCAGGCGAAGTTCCAGTCATCCTCATTGCCGTTCGCGATTCCGTAGCAGTACACAACACCTTTCAGATTTGGAGAAACGCTGTGGAGAAATGAAATAAAAACAGCTAGTTAATGTTAAAGGCATCCAATGCAGTTTTTATGGCTTGGAATTCATTTTTCTAGTCACTTATCTACATACTGAGTTGAAACCACACTATTCAAGGCTATAGTTACCCACATGGAGAAAAAATACCCCAAAGTCTGACGGAAAATGGTTACTGGAAGGGCCCTTGACTGATTTTAAGTGTACCATCCATAAAATAAAGGACTCATCTTGGGGCATGTTTCTGCAATTTTAAAAGCCCAAAGTAGGAAATACTGATTGAAATGTGTATATTGTGAAGCAGTGTGTGTCAATATCACAAAGTTTGACTTGTTCAGAATATTTCCAGTTTTGCTGCTCTGAAATCGCATTGGATGCCTTTACCATTTGTTCACCAATGTAAACAACAACACAACAACCCTACCCAGGATGCACCATGATCCAAAATGGCTGACATGCTTTAAGTTTGCGAAGGTAAGTAAACTTTACTATAAATATCTACGTACTACGTACAGTACAAGCATACCATCTTTGTTTAGGTTGTTCCTTAACATTTTCATTAGCCTTTCGTGTATCTTTAGCTTTTGTCCGACGATGTTTAACACATGTTTGTGGCAAAAAAGGGCATGGTTTATACCCAAACCTATTCTTAAATAGAAGGTACGTCATTTTCTCTAATTCCAACAAAAATGCAATTATGCCATGCGCCTTATACTAGAAAAATAATTCAAAACAATATAGTTGACCAGTTTGTCGATAGAACTTGTTGGAAATATTGCATCGACGAAGGGGGAGGGGTGGTCATACGTCATATCCGTGATTTTTACTAGGCATTATGGGAAGTGTGAAAATCATGAATGGCTAACCTTCTCCCTGCCTTCCATTCTGAGAACTTCTGTGAAGCGTTCTGTAGACAGCCGTTGTAGCCAAAATTACACGCCATAGAAAGTATTGTCATCCGGTTGTATCTGTGACGTTACAACATTGTTTACTTGTAAACAAACAAACAAACACAGGCGATGATGCAAAATTAAGATGCATTCATCCGGTTGTATCTGCGAGATTACAACATTGTTTACTTGTAAACAAACACTGGCGATGACGCAACGTTATGATAAACACACATACAAGCTACCTTTGACACTGTATGTTATTATATTTGATATACCTTAATGAGTGTCCTTAAACAACTATACATGTACAACTGAGTCTACAAGCCAGTCACACATAAACACACAGGCATCGGTCACATTTCCATCATAATACGCTTATACAGTGTACATGTTCGTAGTATTTCACATTTACTGCAAAGACACCACGAATTACATTACGATAAATGCCTATGCAAGTTTTGACAGTGTATTTGATATATTTCACTTGGTATCATACAAATTTTTAAAACCAATTTGTCAAAATTGAATGGGATACCAAGCCTTCTGAAGATTTAACAAATAACTTGATAAATACACGAGAACACGAATATACCCAAACAAACAAAAATGAACAAACTAAACCCACCTCTCCAGATGGCCGCCTGTATCCTCCCACCCCAGTCTGTTATACAAAGGCAGTGCCAGGTTCAACACGTATCTCTACAGCAGGGGAAAATTCATGTGAGATTAGCTTATCCATGGATTAAAATGTGACTTAAAGTCATCCAAGGCGATTTCAGAGCAGCAAAATTGGAAACATTCTGAATAAGGCAATCTTTATGATATTGACACATACTGCTTCACATTAGCAAATTTCAGTCTAATATGTTAGAAACCCGTTTTTTATTTTTTAAAGTCAATATTCTCGTCACTTATCTACATACTGAGTTGAAACCACACTATCCCAAATTCCCAATATATATTGACCCTCATGGAGCAAAAACTCTGACGGAAAACGGTTACTGGAAGGGCCCTGGGCTGATTTTTAGTGTACCACCCATATAATAAAGGACTCATCTTGGGGCTTGTTTCTGCAGAGTATGAAATACTGATTGAAATGTGCTAATGTGAAGCAGTATGTGTCAATATCATAAAGGTTGCCTTATTCAGAATATTTTTAGCACCTCTAAGTGTTGACTGCTGTCTGTTCCCGCCATCATCCGGGAGATGTAGCCAAACGCGCCGCTGGCTGAGGCCCAGGGGAGGTACTCCCGCTCACGCTCCAAATATCGCGAGAGGTCGAGCGCGATGACGGAGCTCAGGCCGCCAGACCTGACGCAACAAAGTTACAAGAAGTTAAGATCTTATATCAAATGTTTTGATCAATCAAATTACAGATAGAAATTGTGGCCTGAGAGGGGTGAAGGAGGCTATATACATCAGGGCCCATCACTCCTCACTGAACCGCGACGGGGGCCGACATCGTCTACCTTTGACCCAGTGTTGACGTCACACTTCAAATAAGCCATGTGACAAGCCAGAGCGACTGGTCGAAAGCTCTAGGTGAGAAAACATTTATGTTGGATCTAAAGTTTTAACTCTAAACAAGAAATTGAAATTGTTAAGGTTGCTTCTTTTGTTTGTGGTTTCTGAAGGCCGTTGTAGGCCATCTTGTAATGATAATATCAAATAAATTTATTGCAAAATCTAATTGAATATACACCGTTAAGTACAAGTGGAAGTTTACAATAGATAAGTTGAACTAGTCGGTACTCGTTAGCAAGAGTAACCACTCACTGTGCGATGTTGAATGCGTCGTCAATGAGGGAAGACCTTGTAGCAACCGGAATATCCTGTAGAAAATAAAAAAAATAATGTTTACATTTGCAGAAGGAAACATGTTATTTTTGCTCCTTTTGTTCTCCTCCAAACAAAAAAAGGTCAATGACCTTGACCAGACGGCCGTCACCATGGTGACTGGTGCTGTAGTAGACACCCTGGGGTGTTGGATTACATTATGTAGCAAGTGGCAGGACAGAGTTGGGTTGGTCATTTTTGATGACATGGAAAATGGAATCTACGTATCATGGTCTTATACTCTAATCAAGAATTTAATTCCCTTCTGGATTCTTATTGTTGATTACTTTTTGTTTGTTTACTTTGAATTTAATTTTACCTGAAAGTTGTCGCTATTCAGGAAGTTGGTGAGGAGTCCCCAGTTAGTGATGTCGTAGTTCACTCGGAAGTATCCAGTCTGGTTAACGTTGGCGATCAGCCAACTTGTTGGCGCTACTGACACCGGGAATTCCTCTGCAGTTCACAAAACAAAACATCGATTATAATCATTTCCGTTCCCAACAATAGAAACAAACCTTAAAGTAGATAAGTATAGCATCATGTCTTCTTGCGTGGTACTATCCACAGTACAAAAGGGTGCCATTCATAATATGTACATCATCGATGTACAAACTGTATATACCCTCACGGTATACATTCACATCCTTGTTATAAAATTCTGTAGGGTCCTTTCAGTCAAATTTTGTTGGGAAAAATTGCATCAATGGCCCACGATTGCTTTAATCATCTTTAGGTGCATCAATCGTTTTGCAAGTACTAAGTATATACTTTCCAGCTTTCTCTCTCTGCAAAAAAAAGTAAAATCTTCCAGGGCTATGTCATGTATAGGGTGGGCTCCTCAGGCTATTTGGCCACACAGATACTCGCTTTGTACTCACCTGTTCTGTCGCGGATCCACGTCCGTGGAGGGTCAGCAAAGTTCATGTCTTCTTCTGTTGTGTAGGTCAGCGGCACCTGCCACACGTAGCTACAGAAACACAACGTTATATTTATGTCTGCAGTGCTTCAAACATTCTTTTTTTTTCTTTATGTTAACCGTGGGAAAACATACTGTTTTGCTCTGTTTCCTCCTACTTCTTCTAAAACCAATAAGGTTAATGACCTGAACCAGACGTCTGTCTGACACCATGGTAACTAGTGTTGTAATGTTGCATCATGTTGCAATTTTATAGCAGGAGGGATTTAGACCCCTGTCATCATATATATGCATGAGTTTGAGTAAGAATTAACAAAGCAGACCATATATGCGAAAGTAAACATTATGCATGCATTTGCTTTGCAAATGTTACCTTTCTAGTTAATTAATTCAACAGCAAAACAACAAAAAACAACATTTGAGCCTTACTTGTAGGGACTTTCCGGTACGTTTACTTCCGGGTCATACAGGAAGTGACGTTGTGTGGCCGTGACCCTGCCGTTGCTGTAGTCCCTGGTGACCGTGACGACAGGGAAGCCCATCTGTAACGTCCAGGTGTCCATCACCTCTTTCACCTGCACGTCGGTACGCCCGTCCTCCTGCGCTGCCTGAAAAATATTCCAAACATTTTATGTTTTACCTTCGCAAAAGGAAAACTTATAGCTTTTACCCCATTTCTTCTTCTTCCTCCTCCTCTTCTTCTTCCGTCCAAACACTCAAGGTCAGTGGCCTGTACCAGACGTCTGTCACCATGGTAACCGGTGATGTAGCAGATACCCTGTGGTGTTGGTTTACATTATGTAGCAAGTGGCAAAAAGGGTTGGAGGGGCTGGTCACCAGAGCAGTGCGTAGTTTGTTAGGATAGATCATGTGAATGTAAACAGTATGAATTTACATTTCATTTACATTTCGCAAAATAGCGCATAAGACTATGATTCAAATAGATTTTTTACCTGGTCTGTCAGAATACGATACTTGTATGTCTTCATGATTTTCAGTTATAACGTTAACGTTTTATGACTTAGCCCGTTGAGCCCCACCTCTGTGAGAGAGTTCCACAGATCGTCTTGCACGGCGTTTGCAAACTGGTATCGCTCCAGGTAGCTCTGCGTGGGGAGAAAGACAGACTTAATCTTCTACTACCAAGTAACAGCCGGTACCAATCGTGATTTGAAGCAATTACAATCGCCTGAAGGCATTAATCTAGATATATCAACTACAAAATGTACCTTGATGCCTTTGGTGTAACTGCTGCCCAAGAACGAACTCATCATACGGATTATCGAAGCTCCCTGGAAAAGAAGGAAAACAAAATTGAATAGAGACGGAGGACGCCAGAGACTATCTGTTACGTTATGTTCGCCGCTCATTGAGTCATGTGTCTACAATCGTCATGGAAGCCAAGACTGGTGTCGTACGATAAATGGGGTAAATGTAATACTTTGAGTTGGAAATTGAGTTTAAAGATCTATAATTGATTCTACAAACACAGCTAATCTCTAGCTTTTCAGGGCTCTATAAGAGTAGTTAGATGCCTGAGTTATCCAGCCTGGCGTTAAACATACCTTACTGTAGGAGATGGTGTCGAATATTTGTGAGATCTCGTCAGGGTGGTTGACTGGTAGTGAGATCGGGTGGGACGTACTGAGGGAATCCAGGGCAAACACGGGATGAAGGTCTGCTATTAGAAACTGGTCCTCCTGGAGATGGAAGAAAAACAACAAAATATCCACAAATTATTTCTGGTCTCCAAACTATGGTGAATGTGTGGGACTTTAACATTTCGTCTTTCTGTTTTCATGGATTTTTTTGTTATTTGTCGGATTTTGAATTTCTGTTTTAACTCTCGGTGATTTTGAATTAGATCAACAGAAAAAGAAGCACCTTAATCTTTTTTTTTGTGCTGATGCTAGCAGGGATTATCAGTTTCTGTAACTAATTTCATCAGGTTTATTATAATTCAACAAATTTTCTCTCTTTCTGGTAGAAGTTGTGTACCAAAGAAATGTTGGATCATCAATGTCGTCAATTTTGGTGTTGTTTTCGTCAAAATGTTTCTACAATAGAAGCCTATTAACAACCTACCACGTTTTAAGAGGCATTAAGGAGGCCATACATATCAGGGCACTCCAGCCATCACTTAACAGAGACGGTTGACGATATAAACTCCCTGGCACTTTTGATCAACTTCTTACGTCCCGTATCCGTAAAGTCTCGTGTGAATAAGGTCACGTGTCTGTTACCGTAACTCTCGCGAAATTAAGTGATTGGTCATTAATTATCCTGATGAAGGCGACAGTGGTCGTTGAAAATTTGTTCTCTGTGTAATCTTTGTGTTGGAATAATGTTCAACATTTTACTATGATCACTACCAACACTGATGTACTTTCATGATAACCACCTACCATAGCCCAAGTGGGTTCCACGAAGTCTACCCCAGGATATTCGGCGGTACTCGCAAAACCCTCCTTCAACCAAAGGTCCTCCCACCACGCAGGCGTGACGAGATTCCCAAACCACTGCGCATGACAACAAAAAACGAGAAAGAAACCACGTGACATACTGCCAGCCAATAGGAATCGGACACGTCACATACCAGCATCCAATCAGGCTCCGCCTGTGCCGCCCCAAGGTATTCAACGTGACTGGCGAAGCCTTCGTTGAGCCAAATGTCGTCCCACCATTCCGCGGTGACTAGGTTTCCGAACCACTGTTGTTGGGGGCAACGGAAGGGGTGAGGGGGTTAGTCAGGGGTTGCGTGCACTATGTGACAGAGGGGACAGGGAAGGGGAGAACAACAGGGTCGGGGTTTTTCCAGCATGTCATGACAAGACATGCATGGTGACACCACACTCAGGTGTTTTCAACTCATTTTTACTCTGCCACCAATACTCAGTTTTACCTGAGTGAAGTGAGAAAATTCGTGTGAAGTGCCTTTCCCAAGGGAACAAGGATTCGAACCCAGGACCTCTTGGTTCTAAGCCGAACACTGCCGTTCAGGGTTCTGACTGACTGTTGCTTTCACTCGCAGAGTTTTGGTGATGACAGAAATCAAAGGGCATTTTGTAAGGGGATAGAATGCGCCTTGGCCCATGAAGCGATGAATAGTAAGCGTTATTGTAGCGATACCAATGAAGAATATAGCGGGAATAGGAGCATGGCTTTAAGATCACATTTTCTAAATGAAGTCTGCATCCCCCACCCCCACCCCGACATCTCATTTGAATGAATGTGTTGATTGATACCACTTACTAAAGTCACGTGTCTAAAGTGATGGGTCATGCGTCCTGAAGAAGGTCGCAACTATTTTTTTACTAGATCAAAAATGTAAATACTGATTATTGTTGCACGACCGTGGTAGGTGCAGGTAGGTACCTGTTTAAGTTAAAACTTTTGATCCAACACAAAGAAATTCTCACTCTCCTAGAGCTTTCGACCGATCACTCTGGTCTTCTTCATAGACTGACCCACGAAGACCCAGTTGCTTCTTTGACTCACTGGGTCAGTCTACTGAGGAAGACCAGAGTAACTGGTCGAAAGCTTCTAGGTGAGAGAATTTCCTTGTGTTGGATCAAAAGTTTGAACTTCAAACATGTAATTTACTATAAACCCAGATGAGCTTTCATGATAGAGGTCAGGTAGTTACCTGATGTCCGAGTTCGTGAGCGACGACAACAGCTACTCTCTGTTTGTTCGCCTCTGTTGACACAGCAGGGTCGTACAGCAGCGCAGTCTCGCGATAAGTGATGAGACCCCAGTTCTCCATGGCGCCGAAAGGGAAGTCGGGGATGGCCGCCATGTCTGGGAAAACACAATTTATGATGTTTAGACTTAAAACTTTAGATCAAACACAAAAAGTTCTCTCACCTAGAGCTTTCGACCAATTACTCTGGGCTTCCTCAGTAGACTGACCCAGTGAGGCTTGTCACGTGGCTTCTTTGAAGTGCGACGTCAACACTGGGTCAAGGGTACCTGGTAGACGATGTCGGCCCCCGTCGCGGTGAAGTGAAGGGTGATGGGCCCTTTTGATATTTATGAGATTAAAGACACTTCCACACATTTGCACAGGTAGCCATTCCATCGAAGACAGTATTCATGAAAATAAGGAACTCAGTCTTTCAGAGATTTTTTTTTTGTGTGTGTGTGGGGGGGGGGGGGGGTTAACATCCTTGCTTGCATAATAGACACTCTTCTTGACACCATTAAAATAAGCAACAGAGTTACTCAGTTGGCAACTGTAGTTCGCTTTAAACACATAGTCACGAAGAACGATAACTATGTTTATAGTTAAATCTTTGTTCCCATACAAATGTAAATGTTTTCACCCAGAGCTTTCGACCAGTGACTTTGGTCTTCCTCAGTAGACTGACAAAAAGTCTAGTCTTTCGATCAGTCACTCTTGTGTCAGTCTACTGATGAAGACCAGAGCGACTGGTCGAAAGCTCTCGGTGAGAACATGCATTTACCTTTTGTATTGGCCTTGGAACAAAAGTTAATTCTAATTTAAAACATGCATGTTACTACCAACACATGATGAGATGAACTTTCGTGATAAAACCAACAAGGAAATTCCACGCCAAAGGTCAAAACACGAAACCACTTTCACACTCAAAGGGGTGTCCATACGCTGTCAAAACGCATCATTTTCACGCCCAAAAACACACCTACTAAAAAGCAAAACAACGTGCACCATCTACAGCCCAATAGCAAAACGTATACCAAGTCCCAGAAATATCCCTGCACCCAAGCGCGAGAAACAGCTGCGAACGTAAAAATCTACATCTCCCACAAAACCCTTTCGCGGAAGGATATATCCTTTCCCGGAGGTAATAACTAGTTTATACTTACCAAGCTTGGGAAGAGGAAAGGGGATGCCGAAATATTCCTCGTAATACGTCAGGACTTTTGAGGCCACGGCGATGGCGTAGTCCACCTCCCCGTTAGCCACGGCGTCTGGACGGGCCCACACTTTCAACTGCAGGAAACATGAACAGGGGTGCCAGAGTATACAGTTCAATTTTGCGGAATAAAGTACATATATACAGTGCAATTTTACGGAATACAGTGCAATTTTACGGCGAAATACAGTGCGATTTTACAGAATACAGTGCAATTTTACTAGTATACAGTGCAATTTTATGGAATACAGTACAATTAGTATACAGTACAATTTTACTACTACAAGACCACCTAATATCAATCTTTATCATTGGACACAGACGTCCCAAACCGAAGCTAGGGCGTCATTTTTGCCTCAGCCTATTGAAGGAATAGGTGGAAAATGTCTTTCCCAAGGGCACAAGGGCACCAGAGCCTGTTAAGGTATTCGAAATATATGTATTTATTATATATTTGCGCACACTGTGTACTATTTGTGACGTCATAACATGGAAGATAGACAATGCAAAGCAGAGCAAATTCAAATGAGAAATGACCGTTATGTTGCCATGGAGACCGGTGACGTTTTCCCTGTAGGTGAAGTTTGAGATGACGAAGGCGACCAGGTAACTGGACATGCGCACTGTGGTGTCGAAGTGATCCGCTGTCCAACCGTCCTGCCTCATCTCAGACTGGCTGTAACAGAAGTCAAGAATAAATCGGACATTTAAAATTTCTGGGAAGCATTTTGAAAAAAGGCATCCAATGCGATTTCAGGGCAGCAAAGCTGGAAATATCCTGAACTAGAGTTCCCCGATCTCATACCTTCGCCAAATGATGTTAATCTTTATGACTGACAAAGTTTAGATTAGATTATTCCCCCCTGATTTAAGAAATAGGAACCTAATTTTCATGAATTATATCATTTTATCATAATCTCAACCAAAAGACAGTCTTATATTAACAAAGAATGCATTCTAGCATTTCCTAATAAATTATGCAAATGAGGTCGTTTTGAATAAATTATGCTTAATGATGTTCACCTCAATTTAACTTTCAAATACCACAAGTATGAAATTCCAGGCAGTTTTCATTACATAATTATAAAATTTTCTCATTAATTATGCAAATTAAGTCATTATTAACATAATCAACATCTTCTTGTGTTTCTCTCGTTGTCAATTACCAATGTCACAAGCTTAAATTGTCCTATCATGGAATGCAGCTGATTTATAGAATTTCCCCATAAATTATGCAAATTACATCCATATTTGCATAATTGTCACATAATTATATCAAGCATCACGTAAGCTACCTACATACCAAAAATCACGACGATCCGTCAACCGGTTCTTGAGTTATCCCCTTTTGAATATTTTCAAGAATTTATCCCTGCAGTTCCAGAGCAAGCCGCTAGGGGGCCTAAACTCACGTCACTTCTTTCCCAGCACAAGAGCTACCTACCATCTAAATTTCATCACCATAGCATGTCTAGATCATGAGATATCAAAACCGGAAGTTCAGCTGCAGTACCATAACAAGCCGCTAGGGGGTCCAAAATCTAATCATTTTGAGGTCTCATCAAGACCTACCCACCTACCAAGTATCAAGACAATCCATCAAGGCCTTCTCAAGTTATCGTGTTTACAGACAGACAGACAGACAGACAGACAGACACACACACACACACACACATACACGAACGCCCCTGAAAACATAACCTTCTTGGCGAAGGTAATAAGGCAATCTTTTGTGATATTGACACATACTGCTTCACATGAGCACATTTAAATCAGTATTTCACACTTTAGGCTTTTTAAACTGCAGAAACAAGCCCCAAGATGAGTCCTTTCTGGGTGGTACCATAAAAATCAGCCCAGGACCCTTCCAGTAACCATTTTCCGTCAGAACTTAGGGAACTTTTGCTCCATGGGGGTCAATATACACTGGGATAGCGTGCTTTTAACTCAGTATGTAGATAAATGGCTAGAATATTGGCTTTGAAAAATGGGTTTTCCAAGCCCTAAAAGCTGCACTGGATGCCTTTAAACTGCTTTGAGATCTGCAAAAGAATCTGCTTGGACATTAGGTTAATCTGCTTGGACATTAGGTTAACGTTTTGGAGATCGTCGATTTCACAGACCTCCCGAAAGTGTTTAATTGAGTTTTCGTGAATGTAATTTTTTTAAATAAGCTAGTAACCCACTTCCTGATTTCCTCCACATACCACCCACTTACTCCCGCCGGGCGCTTGCTGGGTCACATTCAGACTTGACCTTCCTGTCAATCAACTGTGAAAAAATCACCTCCCACCCACCATGTAACCGACCCTATTAGAATAAGCCATATTATAAGAAGAGACAAAACCTCACAACTTCGAATTCGGTAAAATAAGACCAAATAACAGTATCAGTACCGTATCGGCATGTTGGAGAGAGCCGTGTACTCTGATTGGTGGACAAGAGTGACGTGAAACGTGGCTTTCATGGCGGGTTCGTCGAAACACGGGAAGGCCTTCCGGGCGTCGATGGCAGAAAACTGTGTTGTAGCCAAGTGCCTGCAAAATACGGCAAAAATAATTCAGCTAGTATATTTTCCTGAGTTATTTCTGCTATTTGCCAACTCTTACTTACTTCACTTACTTTGGTCGAGCTCCCACTCGAACCAAACTTGAAAGTGTCCTCCACTTCACTCTATCCTCCCGGAGACTGAATTTCTGTCAGACTTGTGTCTGATCTGAGGTTGTCAACGTAGTTGATCTTATTGTCTCCCTCTACTTTATTGGCCCCTTTGCCAACTCAACGTGTCTGAATGACCTGACAGCCTTAGCTTAGTTATAGGGTTTGAGCTTGTTCCAACACAAAGAAGTAATGATAGCTCATCTGTGTTGGTAGAATCCATAGTTATAGAGTTTGATCAGTCGAAATTTATGGTGAGTTACTTTTCTTTGTGTTGGAACAAGCTCAAAAACTATAACTATGGACTCTACCAACACAGATGAGCTTTCATTCGAAGGCCTGACAACCTGTTTTGAGTTAAAACTACTGTCTGTACACCAGGGGTGCCAGAGTATACAGTGCAATTTTACGGAATACAGTACAATCGTATTAGTATACAGTGCAATTTTACGGAATACAGTGCAATTTTACGGAATACAGTGTAATTTTACTAGTAAAATTGCAATGTATATTAATACGATTGCTCTGTATTCCGTAAAATTGCACTGTATACTAATATTAATACCAGTGTACTGCATTCCGAAAATTGCACTATATTCCGTAAAATTGCCCTGTATACTCTGGCACCCTGTACACCTTCGAATGCCTTTGTTCGTGCTCCTTGCTACCGACCCCGCGGCCGTACATTCTCGCACGGAATGAACTGACCTGGGATTTAGCCAAGTCTGTATGAGTTGTCTCCCAGATCAGTGTAGTGTGCCCAGTGAATCAGGAGTCAGATTAAAGACAGATCTAAAACATCTGTCTGTTCTAATTAGTCCAAAAATTGTCCGGTTGCCTCAAGGACACGGACGGCTTCTTAGAATTTGAAACAGCCTCCGAAACAGCGTGATATCTAATGACGATACATGTACGTCCGGAGTTTCTCACACTATTTAGCTCGTGTATGGGGGAGTTTCAAACATTGAAGTCATAGCCTGGTGACTGACCGACCCTAGTAGTAGTTCAGCTACGAAAGAAACTCGGCAGGTGAACTATCTGTATCTGTATAGCCGGTATAACCACCCTTCGGCGTAACACACCAGCTTCGCAGGCACGCGGCGCGGCGGCAGCTGGCTACATTACACCGATCGACTTGTTACACCTAACCCTTGAACATCTAACTCTAGACATTGTTTAAAGCTATTTGATGACAATCCCCCAACTGTACTTGGTGACAGAGTTCCACTCTGCGATAGTTCTAGGAAAGAATGGATTCTTGAACACCTCAATCCTTGGTTGATAACTCTGGTACTTGAAGGCATGGCTATTTCTTGCTCTCCTCTGGGCTGGTATTGGCGACTACCAAGAGCTCAGAACTACAGAATTAGCCAGCCAATCCCTCATAGGCTAACATGGCGTAGTTTAGGAGGAACCTCTGCTTGGAGAGTACAGGTAGCTATTTGGGCTGTCCATCCAATTGTGATCAGGCGTGGGAGGGAGAGAAGTAGGACACACACATGACCCCGACCCAGCCCCCCGCCACTCCCCCTGATTGGCCCTTCCGGGATGTCCGTCGTCTGGTCATCGTGACGTCAATGGCGCGAGATAGCAGCCCAAAGCTCGAGACACAGTGCGTGTAATCTCCAAGCAGATCCTTGGGTGGCAAAAGACAGTATCAAATTGGCCATTGGCCAGAAAGTGGCATATTGGATCCTCTATGGCCAATGGATACTGCCTGGCCAATTTGATCTTATGCCACCCTAGGATCTGCTTGGAGATTGCGGTGGATGCATTCGCAGATTCGAGTGTCAAATAGACAGACAACATGCCAGGGGAGCGGCAAACTGTACTCCTTTCGAGGAAAAACTCCCCTGGCATGGCTATTTGGTCGATTTCTACTATTTCCTGGTAGAGGCTATTATTTGGCCGCTTAGCTGGATTACAGATTAACAAATGCCTAGATTAGCTGGATAACAAATGCCGTTCAAATAGAGATTCAGATAGAATTTTTTTTAGATATCTGGCACTAATTCAACTCGGTGTTTGCAATTGGTACCTTTCAAATTCAAGTTAATTAGGTCGCATTTAAATCAAAATTTCTTCGATTGCTGATTGTCAAGACAATTCAATACAGTTGCATGCCACGCAAAACAGGATAGGCTATTTTTGTCACGTCAAATGCAGACTTATTTATTAGTGAGTTTAGTATTTAATTTAGTATCCGGATATGTATATTGGATGAAAGTTCAACTTCATATATTGACGTCAACACATTGCATGAGTACATGGTTTCACAATTATGTGACAATGAACAAGTTTAAATACCTTTTCGTAACGTTAAACGTACGTGATGCAAAAATCCAGCTTTTTAAAAGCATTTTCTTCGAAAGGAATCGCAACGACCTTGCCGGTGTCACAGCAATATTTGTCCCCCTTATGATTCCACCCCCCGGGGGCCAAATCACATCAGGGGGATGAAATAGCTGTAACACCGGCTCAGATTTAAACGTTGTTTGACAAATAAGTCTGGCGCTAAAACTTGATTTACCACACGCTATCTATAGCTTACGTCACCTAACCTAGGTGGGGTAAATATTTAGACAGTTCCTTGAAAGGATGACTTATTGTTTTACATGTCTTTCATGCCGCGTGTGTGTTCCATGTCAATTCAGAAGTGTTTGAACTAAGTGCACTGGCCGCTATAAATATATAACCGCCCCCTTTTTTGGCACCCAGCTTATCGCTGAGTTTTAGAGTAAAGTTTGGCTTGTTTTTAGACAGTTTTCTTGTTGTTAAGAATATAGATAATCTGGTAGGGTCAAACTTCCACGCCATTTGTGCTAGAGCTGTCTACTCAACCAATTAAGAAGTGTATGTACCAATGTTGACATGTGGACATACAGTGATTTTGTAGCTGAATATTCGTAATTTTTAGACAGTTTTCTTGTTGTTAAGGATATAGATATTTCGGTAGGGTCAAACTTCCACGCCACTTGGCTCAGAAGCGTGTCTTCTCAAGCAATTAAGAAGCATATGTACCAATGTTGACATGTGGACACTGATTTTGTAGCTGAATATTCGTAATTTTAGACAGTTTTCTTGTTGTTAAGGATACAGATAATCTGGTAGGGTCAAACTTCTTCTCAACTTGGCTCAAAAGTGTTTTCTCTCGACTAATCAAGAAGTATATGTACCAATGTTGACATGTGGACAGCGATTTTGTAGATGAATATTCATAATTGTACGAACTTGTGTTTGCAATACAGTCTGCCTGCAATTTTATCTACTGGGTAAATATATTAAAGCTTATGCAAAGAAACATTTCTACACAACAACAATTAGGTAGCTTTTATGAGGGCCTGAATGGGGGGGGGGGGGGTAGTGATTACGAATTACGCAAAATTTTCTCCTCCGATTACGAATTACGTTAAAGTCTCAGAGCTAATTGCGACTTTACGCTTTGTGGCTAATGTACTGATTACGAATTACGTTGATTTTGGGGAGGCTGCCTACAAATTACGAAGACTAAAAGGCCTGATTACGCCTCATGAAAAAGTGCATGCGGGCCCTCTTTTATGGTTTCACGTATTAACTAAGTGACCCTAAGTAGGTAGTACTTCATACCTTGTCTCGCCTGTAAGGTGGTCCAAATACGAACTCCTGTAGAACCCTCGCAAGTCGTCTCTTAACACACCAGAAAACGACACACTCAGAACGTAGTTTTCTCCTCTCTGTAAAATCTGTGCAGCCTGGACCACAAAGAACTCATTCTCGGGATAGAGAAACCAACGTTTAACGTCTACAGTCTCTCCTCTAGCAGTTAGTAGTGACACAGAACCGTCCGTGATGTTTAGAAGTCTGGAGTTCAGCAGAATATAGTCGGTGGATTCTAAACACTGGATGGTGATGTGCTCGCTTCCGATGAACGTGAAGGTGTCTAGGTTGGGCTGCAGCTCGATTTGGTAATGTACCGGGACCAGGGAGGACGGCAGGCGGCTTCCCAGCCACGGATCGCCCGAAGGGGTGTCCTGCTCCGCTCGGGAAACCAGCAAGGCTACCGTCACAGCTACCGCGACTAACACGAAGAGTATGACCGCTGCCAAGAGGATCAGAAGACGTTTACTCTTCTTGGGCTGCCTTGAAGTCGTCTTGTCTGTAGAATTCTCCATGTCTTCTTGTACTGTACACACGTATCAGTCCTTGGGTTGTTAACAAGGCGAGCGACTGAATGAAGTTGTAAAGCCGAGATGGCTATCAGCGATCATGTGTAAACACTAAAGCTAAAGGACGTCACTACCGTGCCAACACCACCGGCGGGCAGGGGCAAGGCAAATATTAGGACAACGTGTTTGGCAAGGTGCGCCCAAAGTTGACAAAATCTCAGCAAACCATTTTGCGCAAAGGTCTTCTGCCTTGACGGATTTAACAGCCTCCACATAACCTTATTTTAATGGCTAATACAGCACTGTTATTTTTGTTACATAACCGAATGGATTTATCTACCAACGTTTCTCACGTAGTCCTGATTCCTTCCTCAGGGCAAAACTGAAGTTCCGTTTACACCGCCTAGGTGGCGCTGCAGGGAGAAGAATGCAGATGCACACGTGACTAGGCTTGTATCCCCCCCTCTAATAATGTTTAAAACTGCCTACAAAAAGTTCAGTCATAGAATGATCCATTTTTTATGTTTAACGAAGGAAAACATATTGTTTTTGCTTTGTTTCCTCTGTCTCCAAACCAATAAGGTCAATGACCTGAACCAGGCGTCTGTCACCATGGTACTAGTAAATAGTGTTGGGTTACATCATGTTGCAATTTTATACCAGGAGCGAGGGATTGAGACTCCTGTCTGACCATATATAAGAATGTCTCTGAGTAAGAATTAACAGAGCAGACCATCTGAGAATGTAAACATTCTACATTTGCTTTGCAAATGTTACCTTTCTAGTTTCAAATATACTACACGCTACACAGCCACGCGCACCCTATTCTGTCTGGTTCGTAACCTTGCCACAAGATGTGACAAGAAACAATGATTGCATCTCCGTTGCCTGCTCAGTCTGATGTAATGTAAGACATATCAGACGCTGTGCTTGTTAATGCCATGATGCTGAGAGCGCTGAGTTGGTCTAGGCCTTGTGTCTGTAGCCTGGTATCCAGCCGCATTCGGGTGTGATATCCCTGCGTTGCAAATACGGGTTGTGTATCGGCCTTATTACTGATAAGGGCTCGCGTCTCGTGTGTCCGGAAACCGATAGATATATTTTGACTTTGACTCAAACCTATAATGTCAATACAAAACGTTTTTTAATTGACTAAATGTTTAAAACTGCCTACAAAAAAATTCAATGTCACAGAATGATCCGTTTTTTATTCGTTAAACATATTGTTTTTGCTACGTTTCCTCTTCTTCTCCAAACTAAAAAGGTCAATGACCTGAACCAGACTGTCTGTTACCATGGTAACTAGTTTTCGGGTTTTTGGATGTGGCTGACGGAACTTAATACGGCCTGATACCAGACTAGTGTTTCTGAGGTTGATTAAACCTGTCAGGTCATCAAGGACAAGTCAGACGATATTACATGTAAAGCTTGCAGCTGCAAACTGTGGGACTGCACATACTGTACATGCCAGTAGTATCGTACCTGGTCCATAAATAATACCCTACGGTTCTAGATATACTAGTAGGAAATGATAACTGCTGGCTCAAATTCAAACGGTGAACTGTACATGTACATGTACACAAAATATGCCAGTGGTGTTATACTTTGTTTACAATCAATACTTTATTGCATAAGACAGGGGTCCAAAAAGTTTTGTATGATCACCCACTTTTCTGAATATAGCAACAAGAAGCCATAGGTGACAATTCTCCGTGGAGTATTATATATTGCAACAAAAAGAAGTAGCCATTGGCGACAATTCTCTGTGAAGTGTGATAAATCGAACAAAGAAAAATTGTTTAAACGCGCGTCGGCTCAGTCATCTTAAGACGCAACAACCAATCAGAGATGCGAGATGCCTACACGTGACGCGGGAAGGGCGCGCGATGCCCGAAATATTTTTGCGTCAATATTCAGCGCCGTGATTCAAGAGATTAATACCCGGAAACAATTTTTTTCTTGTTTTGAACGCATTAACATGCATTTACGCTAATCTAGTATGATTCAGGGTTACTTTTTTTTAACCTGCCATGGCCAGATTATCTAAAGATGTGTGTATTGTGTGTACAATCTATAGAAAGAGAAATGTACATCAGGTCCGATCATCCGATTTTCACGTTTCGGTTTTTTGGACTCGGTTCATGAACGTATTTTGGTTTGGCTCCTGGAATGTGCAAAAAAATGACTCCCGGGACTGTCTACAGGGAACACTCGCACATTCGCGGTGTATCAGGACAGCGCGACTGGTCGTCATTAGCGCAGTAACAGTTGCATAAACGGACGAAACCATTTCAAAGAAATGGGGATGTTTCGAAAATAAGCATTTACTCCAATATCAAAACAGCTACGGTAAAAATAAAAAGACGTGCATCATCCCGGACATAATGCAACACCACATGCGAAATTACACAGAAATGCGACGTACGGAAGAATGCGTTTTGGCTGCGAACATCTTCCAAAAAACTTGGCATCTCTTAACCATGGGCAAAAACATCTGGAACCACTTATAAAAACCACCCCGTATCTGCATGAACTTATTTGAACCCCACTGCTATTCCAAACAACGCGTTTTTCTGGACCATTCCAATTCGCCTCGTAATTGTAGGGGTGCGTCTGCGATATTACATTGACCGCGAAAGCAGCAACGGCAAAAATACACATTCGTGCATCAACACGGGCATGCCCGCAGACGGCGTATAAAATTGCGTGCCGATTACACAAAGAAAACCCAGTGTTTTGACTGCGAACATGAAAAATCAGCCGATTACAACACTCCGTCCGGAGGTCCTGACCTCCTTCACGGAGTAATAATGGCAACTCAACAGTACATGCGTGTGCAAAAAAGTATTGGTATGGTAGCTTAACTTTCTACAAAAGGAAACAGTAGACACTTACAGACGTAACAGTCTGTATCTATACAAAGGATATTATGAAACCTTGGCGTCTACATTAAGAATTGATTTACACGCATCTGTTGCACAGTTCCTAGTGTCTAGACTTTACATCGCCTCGGATTTGGGTAAGTCCCAATTTATTCCAGTGTTGGCAGATCGATAACGACTGGAATGTATTTGGCAATACGGATAATACGGATTGTCAGAAAGGGTAGATCTACCGTTTGCAATCGTTGATAAGACTAGCCCAGTGACCATCATCAACGGACAGGCTTATGAGTATTATACCGGCCCAGCCTCACTGAACCTTTTTTTCTGACAGCCGATCTTTCACGAGCCCGTGAAATGCCCTGGCGTGCGCCAATGGACCTGGGCGGGCAAATGACACTCCCATCACCGTGAAGATACCGGGGAGCCTACGATGGTCTGGCTAAGATAACTAACCCCTATCCCCTATTATAGTAGCGTGCATAGTGCAGTGGTTAGCGACGCTGCCCCTGGACCAAGAGGTTGGGAGTTCGAATCCCGGCTGTTGTCGCTCACCCGACATGCACGCTACTGGACATGGTCGCAGTCCCTGTCCCTAGGACTGAACCTGTGATCCACTGTTCATTGTGCTTGTCAAAAAGAGCTACGGGAATTTTCCCCCGGTACAATGAACTTGTAAATACTGTACATAGCGTCTGTCTGTGACAACCAACGGGAGTTAAAGCTGTATCGAAATCAGTTTCTTTTCTTTCTTTTCATCCTCTCCCATCCTCTCCCAGGTCTCTCCTGCTCCAGCCAGACCCTGACGGCGTTCTCGTTCCTGTCTCTCCACAGGACGTTTTGGCGGATCCGCTCCAGCGACTTGGTGACGTCAGAATCAGACGACATGTTGGGATGGCGGGTCAGGAATTCTTCAAACTGTGGGAAACACAAATCAATCCACGTGAGTGTTAGCCTTTTCACTTGATATCTAACCTTTTGGGCGAATCTTTAGCTACAAGCAGATGGATATTATGTATAGAAAAACCTGTCTGTAGTGACTATTCAAGGACAAGGGAACTGAAGAAAATGGCCACAGCACAAGTAGACAGGTGGTCTCTCCATAGCCTCTGCCAGGCTTAGGAAGTGGCTGGAAGGAGTAGAAATTGACCAAATAGACATAACATGCCAGGGGAGTTTGCCCGCTAACTTTGAGGAGTACAATGTGCCTACAGTACTTCTTTAGCACCCAATTTCTACTCTTTTTAGCCGCCTGGCAGAGGCTAGCCTCCATGAACATTATCCATTATGCTTGAGTTCATGAGAATAACAATCTAAGAGACTAGTAAAAAGATAGTGGTCGCTAGTACAGGTTTAACTGTATCTAATGGCTTGGCATTGGCACTGCCATACCTCCCGTAAGTCCTTGTGCGTGGTGAACTCCTCTGTTAGTTTGGAGATGAGCCCAGGAGGCGCCGAGGAGCTTCAGAACACATGTGAAGAGAAATCATATGGAACTTGTGAGCATCGCTGTATAATATAATGTCAACGACTTTCAACACAAGAAATTGGACTCACGGAAAGAAACCGAATAATTACAATGAACTTAATTGCAACTTAATTGCATATTCACGCCCTACATGGGCCAAATGCACTAACTTAAGTTAAATAACTGAGGTACAAGGATAGAAAGAACAAGTGCTACATTACTGTGCTACAGCTATATCTACAAGATCTCTCTTTTTGAAATATGTATGAACAAATTTATATGTTTTTCATTTACATCGTAGTTCCTGGATGACATAATATGTCTGAACAATTCTCTTTTCGGTAAATGCGTATATTTCTGTTCTAATTGTAAGGAACTACTATGTATTTCCGCATGTCTGTTCTTATACTACACTTACCCCTCCATCATGTAGTCCCAGTTGTTTTTAAGAAAGTTGAAAACCAGTTTCTTCTCTTCTTTAGTGTTAACTAAGGTCGTCAGCTTCTTCAGCAAGTCTGCTTTCGTGAACAGACCTGAATCCACCAGACTCCTGGTCCTGGAAATCCGCACAGAAATAAGAAAGTTAGTTTATTTGTTTGTTTGTTTGTTTGTTTGTTTGTTTGTTTGTTTGTTTTTGCTCTTTATAGACGAGATGATCAGCTGAATGATAACCATTATGTAATGAGTACCTTCTACGAAATTGCTTACTGAAAATACGGAAGTTTGAACATTTTAAGTGTCTGTCAAAATAAGTTTCATAATTGAGCACTCACCGGTTCAAGATGGCGGCAACCAACCCGGCCCCCGTGCGGTCGCTGCCATACTGCAGAATGACTGCTTTCAGATTGGGCTCTACGCTATTAAGAATAAAATCCCCAAACAATAATCAGCTACATTTAATAATTGACTGGCTTAAAAATGAATATAAGAGAAAATAGAAAAAGAAACATACAAAACACTATACTGTCTATTCGAAGAAGTTGTATTAAAGGAAACCAAAATTTTCCAACCAAGGTTCCCACACCTACCTGCCGCCATTGTCGAGATCATGTCTTCTTTCCCTTGCTGCTTGGATACAACTTGGATGTCCATATTTGCATGCCATCGACAGCACTGTTAATCTGTTCAACCTGTTAATAGATAATAGAATATACGGACATTAAAAACAAGAGGGACAATGTTTTGAAAGTTTATCTGTGTGGTAGTTATATGCTTAAAGTTAAAACATTCGTTCCAACACAAAGATTTGTTCTCATCGTGTTGACGTCCCACAGACGTTGAAGCCACGTGACAAGTCTCATTGGGTCAGTCTATTGAAGACGATCAGAGTGACCAATCGAAAGCTCTAGGTGAGAAAATTTCTTTGTGTTGGAACGAAAGTTTTAACTTTAAACAACAGAGAAATATTTGCGAACATATGAGGAAGACTTACAGCCAAGTCCATGGATATGCAAGAGTCTCTCGAAACACGTTAGATTATAAACTTACATTGTAGTGTGATCTCCTGTGTTCTCCCATCCGAGTTCCTGGTAGACAGGCGTCACCAGACTTTTTACGTAATCCTGCAAATAATATGCCAAGTCCACGGTAAATTCACTTGGGTGAAAAAAAGCGCAAATTAACCAACAGCAAACATCACAAGTTCTCTCTTCACAACCACTGGTTTACAAGAACAGACGTTTCGATGACCGTCTGTTATCTTCAACAAAGCATGATAATAGCATTAGATTAAATATTATATCCCTGGTACCGGGAATAAAGAACTTTCATATTCAATTATTTACCATCCTGATGAAATTATTTACGCTCAGTTTAAACTTTCTTGTGTAACCATTTGCTACGTGCACTACTCACCTTGAGATCCGAACTGCTCTTGGTGTCAGCCAGCATCATGTGCAAGTACCCGAAAGCCCTTTCGGCAGCCAGCCACGGCAGGTACTCCCGCTCTCGCGTCAGATATCGCGAGAGGTTGAGCGCGACTTCAGGAGCGAGATGCCCTGACCTGAAAAGAAAATTATCTCCAAGCAGATTTATTCGAGGGCAGGGGACGGTCAAATTGGCCATCCAAGTTTGTAATGGATACTGCCTGGCCAATTTGATACTGTCTTCCCATTTTGATAAAGGTGGGACATTACGTCTTCCATGGTTAACAGAAGAGCCCAACCCTTCAGCTACCTTTATCGTGTAGACTTTAGTTATTTTATACTCTATTTCATTGCTCTTTTCTGTTTTGTAATTTGCAATTAGCCTCCGGGCACGAATTTGCAATAAACTTTTCATTATATTGCTGCCACTCAAAGAGCTGCTTGGAGATTTAAAAAGTACCGCATACCAAGGAGGTTTAAAAGCTATGATGTTTTGTTGATGTAACGTTACATACAACACATGGCAAACCCAGTTGGCGATCATACTTACCGAACAAGATTGAAAGCATCATCTATGAGCCCTGCTCTGCTCTGAGTCGGAATGTTCTGGAAAAGAAGAAAAAATATACTTTCAGGTAGAAGGATAACACTTGCAAAGCAACTGCATAATGTTGACCTTCACATAGTCTAGCCTAACAAGCTACTGCTCTGTTTATTCTTACACGTTCGTATGATATGGAGTCTGATCTCAGGGTTGCCATATTGAAGAGGTGATATATAGTCACCTGTTATGTCAATCCTTACACAAATGTGGTAAATCTTCATGAATACATGAATGAATATTATCAAATAGCCAGAAGGCGTCGACCAATCAGAAGGCTCCATTTGCCATTGATTATCAGTCCGTAACCTCAAAAGTGGTCGGTTATTAGAATAACCTTATCCTCGGTGTATATGGTGATATAATCCCTTGTCAGGTGCGATAACCACCTCATAGACCACCTCGTTCGCTCCGCTCACTTGGTGGTTTATTCGGTAGTTATTGCACCTGACCATCTAGGGATTATCTCACCATATTGACCTCGGAGCTGGGCATTACCTGAAAGGTGACTGTGTCTAGGTCTTCCGCCAAAAGTTGCCAGTTTCTGACGTCATAGTTGACTCTGTAGTAGCCTGTCTGGTTGATGTTTGCCAGTAACCTCGAACTCGCATCGACGGAGAGACGGAAGTCCTCTGAACAATAAAAAAGAAACGATACGTACTTGTTTGATGAACAGTATCTGATGCATTCTTTAAATACTTGTTACTCCCCCCTCCCCATTCCTTTTTGTCCGGGCTAGTTAAAGAATAAACAGGTTCAAAAATGAACTATAAAGGTAGCATTTGCAAAGCAAATACATGATGTTTACCTTCGCGTATGGTCTGCTCTGTGAAGTCTAAGTTACTCAAACACATTCATATATATATATGGTGACAGGAGTCTAAATCCCTCCTGCTATAAAATTGCAACATGATGTAACCCAACACTAGTTACCATGGTGACAGACGGTCTGGTTCAGGTCATTGACCCTATTGGTTTGGAGAAGAAGAAGAAGAGGAAACAGAGCAAAAACAATGCTTTTCTTCGGTAAACATAATAAACATAGATGATGCTAGGGGAATACCTTCTCTTTTCCTCAGCCAGAATATGCCAGGGATCGACACAGTCCCGTTACCACGTGACGTATCCCCGTTGCCAAGTGACGTATTCCCGCTCTCACGTGACATGAAGGTCAGTGGCACTTGCCATACATAACTGCAATGGAATATGTAAACTTAAATGAGAGGATGGGAAAGAGAAATGACATTTGAATATTCTCCATATCTTAAAATCTTTGATATCAAAACAGGATACCAAACTCAAACAGCTTTTCCAAAGTGAACTTTTACGCTGACGCAAATGTATTCTGAATAAGGGGAACAGAAGTGATAAAGAGTTAAGAATACGCACTTGCGCAGACTATCCGGCACATTCACTTCCGGGTCATACAGGAAGTGACGTTGTGTGGCCGTGACCCTGCCGTTGCTGTAGTCCCTGGTAACCGTGACGACAGGGAAGCCCATCTGTAACGTCCAGGTGTCCATCACCTCTTTCACCTGCACGTCGGTACGCCCGTCCTCTTGCACCACCTGCAAAAAAAAGCAGACGTCTGTCACCATGGTAACCGGTGCTGTAGCAGACACCCTGTGGTGTTGGGTTACATTATATGTAGCAAGTGGCAGGACAGAGTTGGGGGCTGATCACCATATTTTTAAATATGTTTATGTAAGTATAAGTACACCATATTTTTAAATATGTTTATGTAAGTATAAGTAGAGCAGTCGCTTGAATAAAAAGGCAAGAGTTGTGTTTCATCCATCATCACTCGACAAATCTGACGCCCAATCGGGTTCATTTTGGATGTTGTCAAAAGTTGACATCATTTTCTCCAAGTAGCATTTGGAATTTCTTTGAAGTAAAATAAACACTTGATATAAGAACTCACCTCGGTTAGACACGCCCAAAGATCGTTCTGCCCTGCGTTGGAGTATTTGTACTTTTGAAGATATTTCTGGAAAATTGGTATATAAACAAAAAGCGAAGAAAGACAGTAAAGAAGTAACCAAATTAGAAAAATTAGAAGAAAATTTCAGACCTACACAAATCTGAAAAAAAAACATGTTGCACAATCATTTTCTACACAAACATGCTGTTAGGATCATTTCCTGGCCCGTTCCTTACCAAAATCCCTTTCCTAAATGCCGTGCCCAGTATGGTGTTCAGCATCCTCATTAGAGACGAGCCCTGCTGGAAAAAAATCATAATGATGAATAAACCAGTAAATAACAGTTGATTATACAAGAAAAATACTGTAGGGCACTCACAAATGCGCGATCCGTATGTCAAGTGCAAACGAAATACATTCACACATACGTATATTAGGTAAATATGCCTGTCCTTGGTGCTGAACGCCATCCATTCATACACACACATCTATACTTTCGACTTCCTCTCGCCACATGTTAACACAGACATACCAAAAACAGTACCTCCATTTTTCATGGAGGTAAATATTCTTTATATTGCCTTTTTGTAGGAGAGTTGATCGTAGACCCTCGTCACGTCCTGCGGCCCTGTCACGGTCAGCTGAAGGGGGTGGGACAGGCTGGACGAGTCCACTGGGAGGATCTGGTGGAGGGACTGCACGAAGTACCGCTCTTTCTGGGAGAAAAAAAACAAGGTGTGATCGCACCCCTTTACGAAAGTGTTTCAACCCAAATTTTGTAGGTAAATGATAGCCTCTACCAGGCTTCGGAAAGCGGCTGGAAAGAGTAGAAATTGGCCAAATAGAGGTAGAGGCTAGGTAAATTATACTCTGACAGAGATCGTGACGAAAAATACCAATTATTCCATTCAACAGCAGATGAACTCCAATATAAGATGATCGATGCCACGCACTAACATTATCATTTGAACCATCACAGGTATGCAAATCAGGATTTGCAATTTGCATACATGAGACGACTCAAACGTCACCTACCACTCTCCATGTCGGTTCTGCAGCGTCCACTCCCCTGACTGCGGCCCACGTCGCCAGGCCTTCCTTCAGCCACACCCCGCCCCACCACTCGGGCGTCACCAGGTTCCCGAACCACTAAGGCACAACCAGTCAGAAGCATTGTCATCTCACATGAAAGTAAGTAGTATACGGAGACTAAACTGTATATCATTTGGCTGGTGGCTAGGTAGATACATGCATTAGTTACCAGGTTCCCTAACGACTATATACGAGGGGGCAGGTCATAGCTAGTCAGGTCATTGTCATCTCACATGAGAGTAAGTAGTATACAGAGATGTATCTATCTATTATTTGGCTGGTGGCTCGGTAGCCGCATGTATTAGTTATCAGCAGCAGATGTGTTATGACGAGTCAAGTTTAACTGGGTACGAGGGGTCAGGTCACAACCAGTCAGGTCATTGTCATCTCACATGGAAGTAAGTAGTATACGGAGAGGAAACGATCTGTAATTTATCTGGTGGCTCGGTAGATACATGCGTTAGTTATGGATGGATGGATGGATGGATGGATGGATGGATGGATGGATGGATGGATGGATGGATGGATGGATGGATGGATGGATGGATGGATGGATGGATGGATGGATGGCTACATGGTTGAATGAATGAATGAATGAATGAGTGAGTGTTTGAGTGTGTCAGTGAGTGGGTGAGTGAGTGAGTGTGTGAGTGAGTGAGTGAGTGAGTGAGTGAGTGAGTGAGTGAGTGAGTGAGTGAGTGAGTGAGTGAGTGAGTGAGAGTGAGTGAGTGAGTGAACAAGTCACCATGTGAGCCAGCTCATGTGCGATCATGGACGCCACTTCTTCTTTCTTCCACACAGGCGAGAGTTTCGGTGCGTAGAGCATCCTGTTCTCGTGAGAAACTACGAGACCCCAATTCTCCATGGCGGGGACGCGCATCTGAGGGGAGGCCACGATGTCTGGAGTACAGAGAGGAAAGAAGAGAGGCGGCTGATGCCTTCAGGTATGAAACATTTCATTGGCAGTTTCTGAAGCTTAGGCCATGTTGATTTGATTATATGGATGACATCTTCTGGGAACGCCTAAACTGATGCGAGCGTGCGAAAAAAAAGTTTGGCAAAGTTGCTTTCATTATGAAATCTACATGGTCATGAAGGTTGAACAAATGACACAGAGTATGGTCTTCAAATTCATTTCTTTACATTTTCGTCTTTTTCGTTTGATTTTGGCATTCTGCATGCGCAAGTCAAGATGTGAAAGAACTTACCTAGTTTTGGCAGTGGATAGGAAATCCCGAAGCTGTTCTCGTAATACGTGAGAACTCGCCTGGCGACGCCGAGCGCGTAGTCTACCTCCCCGGCAGTCACGGCGTTTCCTCGGGCCCACACGCGGAGCTGGGCGGGAGGGACAAGTTTTAAACGTACGGTGGCAAAACACATCTTCTCCAACACAATCTAGCCTGGCATCCAGTCTTACGTGATAGGGGTGGGTTTTCATCGGGGTCGCATGAGTTCTTTCCCGCCCGCCTGAGCTAGGTTTCCCGGTGGGTATTTCACGAGAGATTGATTAGCCCTCCACGTGTTGGGGCAAATCAAATCTCCAAGCATGTCATCTCTGTTATCGTAACACTCCTACCGGGTCGGCCTGTTGTACTGGGCGGGGGAAGCTATTAGAGCCCCGAAGACACAGCCTGCCTGAACACCCCAGCAGCCCTTTTTAAGCAAGAAATTTATGTAATTTTCTTGTATCATTACATATCGTTATTACTGATATTGGCGAGATGTACAACGCGGAACAATAATATAGGATATCGAAAAGTATGATGTTGTTGTTGTTGTTTACCGTAATGTTGCCATGGATACCAGTGACGCCCTCCTTATAGCCGAAGTCAGCAATGACGAAGGCCAGAAGATAGGTAGGCATGCGCAGTGTGGTGTAGAAGTGGTCTGCCACCCAGCCTTCCGATCTCACTTCTGATTGGCTGATTGGGGGTAACCATGGAAACAATCGAAATTTAGCAAAAATAAAACCAGTAACTTTCTTTAAATATAACCTTGTTAAGTTATCATGAAAGTTCATCCGTGTTGGTAGTTACATGTTTGGAGTTAAAACTTTAGATCCAACACAAAAAGTTCTCTCACCTAGAGCTTTCAAACAGTCACTCTGGTCTTCCTCAGTAGACTGACCCAGTGAGGATTGTCACGTGGCATTTTAAGTGTGACGTCAACACTGGTATCTGGTAGACGATGTCGGCCCCCGTCGCGGTTCATTGTTGTTAAGTTGTTTTATCTTACAGGCATTCTTAATTTAATCAACTGTAACATCTTTAGGTTGTTTTAGAATCTTTTTAACTGTAGCTACGTACTTAGTACTACATTAACATTAGACTCACCGTATTGGCATGTTGGAAAGAGCCGTGTACTCTGATTGGTGGACTAGAGTGACGTCAAACGTGGCTTTCATGGCGGGTTCGTCGAAACACGGGAATGCCTTCCGGGCGTCCATCGGGGCAAACTGGGAGACAGCTAAATACCTGAAACGTACAAGACACATGTAGTGAGTAATGCATTTTTAGAGTGCCAACATTCACACGCAACCTAAGATACTGGGAAAGAGTACGGGGCGGTCAAACACACAACACTACCAGCAGGCTATCCCCCTGTCGTAGTGCATGCACAACTGCGTGGCCCAAGGGCTACAGAAATGGAGATGGGCGCAACCCCTATGCTTCGCATGGAATGGAACACGTGTTTTTAAAAGAGGCGGAGAAGACGGGACAGAATGTAGGAAGAATAGTGTCTGAAAAAAAACTTAATAGTGTCTTAAAAAAAGTTACTTTTTACTCAAACACATTCATATATACGGTGACAGGAGTCTAAATCCCTCCTGCTATAAAATTGCAACATGTAACCCAACACTAGTTACCATGGTGACAGACGTCTGGTTCAGGTCATTGACCTTTTTGGTTTGGAGAAGAAGAGGAAACGTAGCAAAAACAATATGTTTTCCTTCGGTAAACATAATAACTTGTACGTAATGAAAATCATTTTAGCGAGATGAAGAGTAGACGGAAAACCCTTAAGAAATGACTTTGTTTAGAGGTGACACAGGAAGCTGAGAGACCATCCCTTAGCTACCCATCACCAAGTCCATCCCTCTCAAGCCCTTCATCACGGTTGTAATGACGTTTTACACAAACATCGCATCCTGTAGTATAAGACAGGGACAGCTTCTAAACATCAACCTTTCTTCAACAATGGTGTGAAGGAATGCCAAGAGACTACGGACATCTTTTCCCTAAATAGTAGTCCTCTAGGGCAAGGCATATATGCATGTTTCCTTCGCCTACAAAATGTTTTATGTTTTTTATTGAATGTTTATTTGTATTTTCCAACACAAAGAAATAATCATACAAGACAAGTGAACCAATAATCAAACGCAAAAATCAGAAGACAATTTGCAACAGTATCTAGTCTAACAGTTCATAGCATAGAGAACCCCACTTGATCATATATTTATCTAATTTTCCAAGGTTTAGCGCAGTTGTATATTCTAGTTTATGATAATATTCAACGTAAGCTAAGTATCCTTGAAGAGTTGCTAGCTTGCTCTGTTTTTAAAAATGTACAGTTTACAATTAATAACAAAGTATTGAGCACCATACTTGAGCACCATAATTTTTTTATGGTTTTGTTGCATTTGTTTGGATAGATGGATGGATGGGTGTTTGTTTCGATGTGGTTTAGTACAATAACATTAGAAGCTATGGATGAAATTTGGTAAAATTATTAGGTTTCGGACCCCTGGCAACTTTCCTTGGTACTGCAGCAGGAACGTCCGATTTTGATATCTCGTATTAATTCTGTAAATATTAACTTTATCTGATATTGTCCATATGGATCTGAATCAGTGATTACTGACCAAAAATGATTAGCAATAGATCGATTTCTGTTTTTTTTTCTTTATAAAAAAAACAGTATCTTTTCCGACTCAAAATAAAAGCCATTCTTTGAACAGATTATAAGAATAAGCACTAGTAGCTACCGGATAAAGCGACTGACGAATAGTATTCTTTTTAGATTTTATTATCAAATATTCTTCTCTTCGAGTGTGGTTGTCTTATCGTGAGTTCTTTACCGGAAGAAGGTACGTCTTGTCTTAAGTAGTACTCTATCTGTCTTAAGGAGTTCACTAAGGTCACGGGGTCATAGTAGCTTGAGGCACGACAGACATACTTCCTTAGGGACCATCCACAAAACGACAATATACACAAACAATATCCTTTCATCTCAGCGGAAACAATTATGTAATGTATAGAAAAACAGATATCGTTTGTAAACAAATTTTAGAAAAATTCTTCCCTTTGTTACATGTACAGTTATTACAGACATAATTCCTTTTTTAAGGCATCCAATACAATTTCAGGGCGGCAAAACTGGAAATATTCTGAAGTCAATCTGTATGATATTGACATATATACTATCCCACATTAGCACAGTTGAATCAATGTTTCATAGAATCATACTTTAGGAATTTAACTGCAGAAACAAGCCCCAAGATTAGTCCTTTATTTTCTGCGTGGTACCCAAAAAATCAATCCAGGACGTCCTTCCAGTAACCGTTTTTCGTCAGAATTTGGCGCATTTTTGCTCCATAAAAGTCGATATACATTGGGACAGTGTTGTTTCAACTTAGCTTTAGTATGGTTTCCAAGCCCTAAAAACTGCACTGAATGCATTTATGTGTAGCGAGTTTTTTTGGGGTCATGGCTTTGAAAAGCTTGAAATGTCGTCATTTATTTTGGCCGCAGCGCAACAAAATATATACTCTTGCAAACAAGACAAGCGTTGAAAGCCGTTGAGGCTTTTGTTGTTGTGTCAATACAAGAGAAACGTAGAAAAGAAAAAGAACTGACAGAAAGACTAAAACGCTTCTGTACGTACCGTCTATCGTTGTGAGTGCTGTTAGCCGAGTAGAAACTCCGGTAAAAACCTCTCATGTCTTCAAGAAGTTTTCCTTGGAATTTCATCCCAATCACGTATCTCCTGCCCGTTTCCAACGACGTCTTCGACTCCAAGACCAAGAATTCGTTCTTGGGATAAAGAAACCAGTCCCTGAGGGTCAAAATCTCCCCCCGTAGCGACTTTAAGAATACCGAGCCTTCAGTGATGTTCAACAGGTTGGCGTGGAGAACAATATATCTCGTGGGAGCTAAACAATGGAGGCTGATTTCAACCGTTCCCGTGAACACTGAGTCTTCCAAGTTAGGCTTCAGCTCCAGACGGTAGTGGTAAGGAGCGAGGGACTTGGGCAGGCGCGGGCGGTGCCAGGGAGCGTCTCCCCCCGAGGAATCGGCTAGGATCTTCCGATGCACCAAGCTCGCCACGATGACGGATATGAGGATGATGACAAGCACAAGAACTGCGACGTACGCGACCTTTTTTCTGGTGTGTCGCTCGGTGTCCGACTTGTGAGTTGCTGTGTGCATCTCCATCGTGGCTTTTAGGTATGTCTGGACAACTTTCTCAAACGTGTGATGACGTCAAGGAGTCATTGAAGATTTCAAAGGGCAAGGGTCACTCAAATCGAGAGAAATTTAAGCAGCCATGTTTAGTAAGAATAGTAAATTAACTCAATTCGTTACAGTTGCAGCACATTGCCCTGTTTACATATACTTTTTGGGCTGAATTTGAATCATATCGTTCTTGGGTTAGACAGGTTACAAAAGACAGCTTTCGAATGACATGGGCATTTATTTTGTCCAAAAAAGTTATTTACAAAAGAACCATTTTCTTCTTATTTCTTATATTGACTATCTTGGTAGGTAGAGCTTTGTAGATCAAGGAAAAAATGATAAGAGGTCTAGAGATGCTAAGGAGTTTTCATGACTTGGAAGAATCGCCCTAGCAGCTTCCTTACAAACTGCAGCGTACCATACAATATTTTATAGTTACATATTAATATTAGCTATATCAAGATTTGCGCTCTGGAGATTATATTTCGAACGTTTGGAAGTTCGAGTGTTCGAACGTTCGAGTGTTCTGAACGTAGCGGTTTGTTCGACCTACCAAACGTAGGGGGCAAGTTTACAATCCACGTAACCGGTTTGGCGTGCTGTGGTGAAATATACAGTCTTGATGTTCACCATTCAGGGCCGGAAGAAGCGGTAACAGTTCAACACAAAGTCGCCAGGTGTCGCGAGGATACCACCGGGCACAATGCGGGAAGTTTTTCGACTGGCGAGACTCATTTTCATCGTTGTCTTGACCGCCTTGTTGTTGATAGAAGGTACGCAAACATTTCTTCCAATATATTTCACGAGAATTGTGCCTTTTCTGATGATTTGTGATGACTACATGGTATTTTAACAAATGGAAGTACATTGTACTTTCTGAAACAAGGCTGATTTTTTGTCGTCTTGCAGGGGCATTTGCGGGTCCTTTAAGACAAGGTAGAGGCAAGAAAAAGAGAGAAGAAAGAGGAGGAATTCCGTGAGTTAATTCTTGAGTTTACCTTTAATCTCATGAAAGTTATGTTGTATTATGAAATTTATGATTATTGTATTCAAAAATTTTAAAAGAATATCTTTTAATGAAATAAAGACTAAGCTTTAACTTCCAACACTTACGGACTACAGGAATGGGACTTATACCAATTTTTTTCGGTTGACTCCATCAATCTTGTTCACGGAATGGACCCGTCTACTCTTGGAACGTAACGTCAGAGACACGTGACCGTAGTAGCGGGTCATACGTGCCAGATAACTTGTGTCGCCCCCCGTCTCTGTTCAGGGAAGGTTTCTGTAGTCTAAGTGTTGGACGTTTCATAATGACTTGTACCAACACAGATGAACTTTCATGTGGGGTCGTGTGGCGAAGCGGCAGAGTACTCGACTCGGAACCCTGAGGTCCCGGGTTCGAGTCCTGACATGTCACCGATCGTGTGCCCTTGGAAAAGGCACTTTACACGACTTTCCTCAAGTGAAGATGAGTACTAGTATTGTCCTGTTCCGTATTTGTCATCTGCGTTGGTGACGGTATAAAATAAGTTGATAACACTTAAGTGTGCTGTCACCATGTCCAGTCATGAAATGTGGTAATAAAAAAAAAATTTCATGCTAATATTTTTTTTTATGTTTCTTGCAGTCCATGGGGGATAGGTGCCATCGTGGTGTCCCTTGTGTTCGTGGTGGCGGCTGTAGCGGTGTGGATCAAGTGCTGTAGGAACAGGAACGCTCAGGGGGCCAACGCGCAGAACCAGGGCGAGAAAACCGGGCTGGTCAACGAGAAATAAAAGTCATGTGAAACAGAGTTCATAGTTTATTGGGGTTTCTTTTTTAGGCCACAGAAAGTAATTTTTATGGCTGACATCAGCACGCGCATTAATTTTCGCCTGATTTTGAAAAAAATAAGCAAGAAATTTTGTTTCCTTCTAACAGTGGTCAACATGCTAAAAATGGGCAAAGATGCCTGTTGCCATGCCGGAAGGTAGATGGCAGATAACTATGAAGAGAGCTGGAGACAAGAAAAGGCTCAGATTTAATGTTTTGTTTCTTACTTTGATGCAATGATATGTGATGTTGGCTGTGTATATGTGATGTTCCCTCTGAATCAAAACCATTTGTACAATGATTGAGTCAAAATCTTAAAATGTAGGCGTGCACGTGGGGTTATTTTTCCCAAATTTTTCTTACAAGAACTAATACAAACACCCCTCCCTTCCGGAGCTCTGCCTTAACAATGCAAGTGCAGAAGACTTCCGGTACTTAAGGTATACTTAAGGTCACCGACTCCACGTGCCACTGCCCCTCCCCTCCATCACATGATAACTTAGTACAGGTAACTACAGGTGAGATGGGGGCATCCAGGTGTGTGAACTTCAGGGACGATTCGTTAACCATACTGAGGTGTGCATGCGTGCTTGCCAGGACCGGTGCCGCTCTATCATAAACGGTTCTTAGTTCTTTTACACGAGGCTTTTTACGTACTCAGATTCAGAATAATATTATAAACTGTTATAGTGTTCATGTCAAACTCCATTGTAATGTTATCTTGAAAGTTCATCTGTGTTGGTAGAAGTCATTATGCAGCAAGTTTAAACTGTAATTTCCAACGCAAGAAATTGGACCCAAATTTCTGTACAACTCCAGTCTTTGTCAAGGAATGAGCTATCCACCGCTTTCGTGACGTCACGCAGATAACACACGTGACTCCGTAAGCAGTGGATCATAGGTTGCCGAAAGTCTGTGGCGCCCCCCGTCTCTGTTGAGGGGTTTCTGCAACCTCAGATGATCCATTGTAATGTTTGTCAGCAGGGCTAGCCTTTTACAATAGCCACAGGCTAGTTGGGCAGCTACAGTTTTGCGTGCTGAACAGCCAATAAATTAATAACCATACATTGTACATTAGGAAAGCGAGGACTAACTTTGAACAACATATTTATCATTTTCTTACATCTTCCCATGCTATGCTAAACAAAAATATCGACATTCCATACTTACATAGTGGCATTAGTCTAAAACTCAATCCGTACATTTTCGACATTTTTATGCTGGTACATAATAGCCTGGGTGCCATCCCCAGTAGTATATTCGCCAGCTCTATAACTAGTTATAGAGCTGGCGAATATACTACTGGGGATGGCACCCAGGCTAGGTACATAACGACTGCTCCCTATAAAAAAGAGAAGTGTTTTCGACTTTGCACCGGAAGCTACGTGCACATTGCGTTGGCGGTTTGAAACTTTGTACCTACCGAGTCAACAACCTATAGAGGAGGCGTGTCAGTATAAAACTGCGGACAGACGCGATTTTAGGACACTTTTCCCGCCTTCGTTCCCTGACTCGCGGCACTCGTGACAACACTTTGGGAAGAAGAAATGGCGAGAACAAGCATGGCCCAGTTCCTGTTCCTCTTAGTTCCCTTCGCTATGATGTACGGTAAGTACACAACAATGTTTCCGCAAACCTGTTAGAACTAAATTTGCTACTCGTTGTCCATCCTAAGGATAGCAAGCAACATGCATGCTTTGCAAGCTTTACTTGTACTTGTGATTAGCCCACTCGACTGTAACACTTTAGCAAAGACTTGTGCTAGCCCTTACTGTTTGAATAATTAAGATATGTTAGGTTTTCTTCGACATTAGGTCTTATCAAACATTTATTTTATTGTTTGATACTCTCTTAATGTAGTTTGCCATACATTGTACCTTGTGCAATTGTCGTGCAATAAAGTTCTTCTACCTAGAAGGCTTGCATACCGCTTGCGAATAATCGTTCTACTCAATTTTCTAGGAAAAGAATACCACTATATAATTTCCGTACAGCATAAATTTAAGAATGTAATTTTGAGTTAAAACCAATATGGCGAGTGAGGATAGCGTGTCTACTCGTATAAAAAAGATAGAAGACAGTACATAAAAATGTACTAGTTCAGTGTCCCAAAGGATATGTTTACCAACTTTTCAACGTATAATGGTGATTCAGTGTTAGTATTACTAATATGGTCATTTTTCTCCTTTAAGTTAATTAAGAAATATCATGACATCTCGACAAAAACTTGTTATTCAGTTAAGTTATCCAAAGCTAAACGTAAGGTGCGGGTGTTTAATTTGTTTTGACGTCACGACGTCACATGGTAGCGAAGTCTAATTTGCATACGTCCTCGCATGACCTCTGTACACAAAAAAGTACATGTACATTGTATTTCAGTTGAAAACCGTGATAACTAATAATTTTACTGTGATAACTATTGTCAAAAAGGCATCACATTATTTCCCCAAATTCTTAGAGATTTTTCATTCTCTTACTAGTAAAATAATGAGATAGCACCCTATATTTCCTTTTTTTCACTAGTAGGAAGATCTAAAACTGTGCATGATGCTTACCGGCCTTCACCTGGTCTAGCCCAGCAAACTACTACAGCTCTGTTCTGCTACATAATGTAACCCAATACCACAGGGTGACAGACGTCTGGTCCAGGTCATTGACCTTATTTGTTTTGAACGGAAGTCGAAGAGGAGGAAGAAGATGGAACTGAGCAAAAACAATATGTTTTCCTTCAGCGCACAGCGAAGGTAAACGTAATCATATAATCAAGGCCCACCACCCTTCACTTAACCGCGACGGGGGCCGATATCGTCTACCTTTGACCCAGTGTTGACGTCACACTTCAAAGAAGCCACGTGACAAGCCTCACTGGGTCAGTCTACTTAGGAAGACCAGAGTGACTGGTCGAAAGCTCTAGGTGAGAGAACTTTTTGTGTTGGACCAAAAGTTTTAACTTTAAACATATAATCATATTTTGTTCCCCAGCAGGGACACTAGCCCAGTTCACGTGCCCGGCTGACCACGACCCGCCGTACCCGCCGTTCTGTCCTCAGCCGGGAGACTCGCCTAACGCCACCGCCTGCTGCTACGACTCCACCCGCACCCCGTCGACATACTGCTGCGACCCTGGAGACATACTCGCTGGACTAGCGTGAGTAGACTTTATTGAGGGCCTGTATGTCATTTTTCGTAAGGCGTAATCAGGCCCTTTTTAGTCTTCGTAATACGTAGGTAGCCGCCCCAAATCATCGTAACGAGTACATTAGTCATAATGCGTAACTGTAAGTAAATAACATAATTCGTAATCCATGCCCCCCCCCCCCCACCCATTTAGGCCCTCTTTATTTGCAAAATCATGCCAGAAGCCTGACTGCTTATAGTCTCAAAAAAAGTAAGGTCATGGGAAGTAGTAGGAGGCACACAACTTCTATCTTATGCTCAAGTATATCTTGGTTATCAAGTTTTCCCATTCTAGGTATTTGAATAGTGTGTGTATATGTGAATGGATGGATGGATGGCGTTCAGCACCAAGGACAGGCATATTTACCTATGTGTTAAATGTATTTTGTTTGTGTGTGTGTGTACGTTTGTGTTCGCATTTATCTTTTTTGTGTTTGCATTGGTGTGTGTGTGTGTCAGTGTGTGTCTGTGTGTGTGTGTGTCCTTGTGTGCATGTGTGTGTGTCAGTGTGTTTGTGTGTGTGTCAGTGTATGTGTATGTGTGTGTATCCGTGCATGTGTGTGTCCATGTGTTTGTGTGTGCATGCAAGTATGTGACTCTACTCCAATTTTGTATCATCTAAAGGAGCTCGACTTCACTTTTAAGGGGGTGAAGTCTGCTATCTCTGATTGCCTCGTTCTTGATGTGAGTACCTACAAATGTGTGACTTTCATTTTCCTTGTTCCTTACAGGGGCTGGATCATTGCAGTTATTGTGGTGGCATTTGTGCTGTTCTTCGGCGGGATCGTGCTGTGCATCTGCTGTTGCTGCAGCTGCTGTCTCCTGGCACAGCGCAGACAGCAGTCACAATACATCGTCATCACCCCGTAACACAGGCAATTCAGGAAAGCCAACATTCGCCAGCAAATGCAGAACATCTCTCCCCATGTCTTTGCAATAAGTGTCTCAATCAGGCCTAGGAATCTTAATGTTGTGTTTTCAGTTTTAGTCCTAAAAAATTAGGGCCACTAGGTAGGGATTATCTCCTTTTTTTCAAATATGTTTTAGAATTTCAGCAGAAGTTATCCAACAAATGCTGTCACACTACATTGTCATCAGTCCATAACACAGACAATACCAAGTACTGGTGTTATCAACAAGGGATTGAGGTGTTCAAAAACACATTTTTTTTCTAGAATTTGCTGCCACCAAGTGCAGTAGGGGGAATCATAATGTGCAAAGACTAGGTGTAACAAATCATTTTGTGCAGTTGGTTGCAAAGCTCCTAATTGTATCAAAGTGCAACTTTTGTTTTGCTCAATGTTTTCATGGTTTTACATGGAAAAATACAAACACAAATGTACTAGCATTGAAATAAAGATACATCCATTACAAAAATCATACATTTCATTTATTTCAGTCAAGAGTTTCTATTCTATGTTGAGTATCCTACAATGACAGCATATCCTACATGAAGTATACTACACATATCGGACCTGTACATGTTTTGGGTAATAAATGGTTTCAAAATGTAACATTTTTCAAATAGTTCATATTTCATTCCCATTACATATGTTATGCGAATATTTTATGACATTCCAACATTGGTGACATTCAACAATTTTACTGTCACTGTTTACAGTTTATTAACAATTGCAACATTACATCCTATATTCTACTTTTATAAATTTACTTGCAAAGTTCTGTTTGTAAACTACATATTTGTATAAAAGTCTTAAATGCCTCACGGACTATATATTTCATTGAATGGCTTGTACACTACAGTGACAACAAATTAAGTACAGTTAATCAGAATTTGATTTTGGTCCATGGAATTTAGATGCATAATGCAATTTATCTTTTTTTTCTTTCTACGCTATGGTTACCCTTCAACATTTTTTTTTCAAATTTCATGTGAAGTACGGAATACCTATAACAGTTCATGCAAAAAAAACAACAGATTCAAGGAAAGGTCAAAGTTTACAGTTCATCGAAAAGGTCATCAGGGTCAAGGTCACCTGACCTGTTGGATCTGCCGGATGATTGGCGGCTGGGAATTCTGGGAACTCCTGAGGGAGAGGTCCTGTCCCCAGACCTGAAAATGTAATAGAATTAAATGACTATTGCACAACAATTGTACAGAGTACAAAGTATTGCATCTACTGGTACATAACACTTTATGTTTACCGAAGGAAAACATATTGCTTTTGCCCAGTTTCCTCTTCTTCCTCTTCTTCTCCAAACCAATAAGGTCAATGACCTGAACCAGATTGTCTGTCACCATGGTAACTAGTGTTGGGTTACATCATGTTGCAATTTTATAGCAGGAGGGAGTTAGACTCCTATCACCATGTATGTGAATATGTTGAGTAAGAATTAACACAGCAGATCGTATATTAACTACTAACTACTACTCGTACTGGTATTAGTACTTACAGGCTTCTCTGTGATGAAGTTCCCTTTGGAATGGTTGGCCTGGAAACTGCCTTGTCTTTTCTTGGAGCTGGCTCTCTTCTCCTCCTCCTGTCATTAAGATAATTAAGATATATGATTGTTGTAAGAAGCCCATGCATAATTTTGTGCTATGAAGCTATGCTAAAGGTCAGTTATGCTGGCTATAATACAGATGGTGCATGGAACAGACAAGTGGGTTGCATGTCGGCAGAACGTACTGTGCCTCCATTTTTTAGTTGGATTTTCGTCTAGGTTTTCGTTGGATTTTTGGTCAACGTTGCATCAGAATTTTGCCTGCTGCAGACAATATTTTTTGTGACATAACATTTGGAAACTACAGACAGAGTGCGCGAATACCACCTTATATGAGATGTTCTGCCGAAGTGCTTATAATGCACAATATATTATGTGTTTTACACAGAACACAAAAATGGTGAAAGTCAAAGGTCAAATTTCACCTCTTAGCAGCAGGTTCAAGGTCAGCCCCATCGTTGTCTTCTCCTCCCAGTTCAAGGTCGAGATGCCCCCCTCCCGCTCCCACATTCCGCCACACCTTCCTTCTGGGTCGTTCCTCGTCGGTTGTGTCTCCATCATCATCGTCGTCGTTGTCTTCGCTGTCAGGATTATTGTCTGTGTCGTTGTCTTCTGATCCTGAAGGGTCATCTTGTTTTGTGGTCTGGCTGACTTTTCTACTTGGAGTCAAACCAAAAAGATTAAAGCTATTAAAAGAAAGGCGTTGATAAAGGTTGCACATCTTGGTAATAAGATACGCCAAAAAGAGATTTCCAAAATCATATCCAGTTGCTTGAGTGACTGCTTTTGGGTGTATTAAATTAAAAGAAAGTACTGCAAAGAGGTTGTAAACTATTTTGGGGTAAAATGTACTTGACAACATTCCTTTGTGTTTTGAAATCTACAACCAAAATGCATGTAGCTGACTTTTCTACTTGTAGTCAAACAGAAAATGAAACAATTGAAATGCAAAGATTTTGAACTTTTTCTGGATAGAATTAACTTTGAAAAATACACTTTAAAATCTAAAATATACAATAGATATTTAGTGAAGAGACTCTTTTTTACATAACCACGTCTTTTGTTCAGCTGACGTTTCTTCACTCAGTGTCTTACCAACCTGATGAAACTATTCATGGATACAATAGATATTGTGGGAGTTCAATTCAAAATTAATAATATTTAGCAATTCAAATCATTGGATGACAACAACTGGAGAAATGTACAAGACCTTACTGAAACTGTAGAAACCTAGTCTGTACCTGGATGATTGTGTAGCTGCCATTTCTCGTGCTTGAGCCAACTCGTCTTTCAACTGGCGGATTTTGGCCTTCTTGTCGTTGACAACGACAACAAACTTGGCGTACAGATCTCGCTCCATCTCTTCCTTCTGTGCCACATACTTTTCCAGCCGCTACATCAACAGTACAGGTAAGAAATCTTTCAACTACGAAAAATAGCTTGTCACACACTTTGAACAGTCAGTATAATTGTAAACTGAGGGACAGAGAGATAGATTTCTCTAGAGGTTTAGGTTCAGTTCTGGACTCGTAAGTCCGGACCTTACCCCATGTTGTTTGGGCAAAACGTTGTCCATATACATTGTAACATGGAGGCCGACACTTGATGATGCCCAATGGCAATGTTTTCTTCATTTTGTAGCAGAGATTTTGGAGGGTTTTGGAGTAAAATGTACCTAGAGTCATACCCACCTGAGAAAACAGACATTTCAATGAGAAATGTGCCCAAATTTGGTGTAACTTTATCTAAACAAAAAGTGTAACGGTATCAATTCCAACATCTGAATTCAGTGTTCGAAAGTGGCACACTCGGTGCCTGCGATACGCATTTGAATTATTCTATGGAACATTTGGAAGCCGTGTGATAAGAAAAGAGAACCCTGGGCCGTACCGGTTATCACATGGGCTGGAACACCTGTATTGAACGTTATTGCGGCCAAGGTATGACATAAAGTGGATTATTAACCACCCTGATCCCACCTCCAGTGCCTTGGCTCTCTCCCCTGACAGTCTGTCCTTCTCCTTCTGTACGTCTGAGATGGTCCGTTTTAGTTCCTCCGCCCTCCCCAGGGCGTGGTCAAATATCTGCTGCATGACCTCTACAGGGGTCACCGCCTCACGCAGTTTTATACTGCCCAACTGGAACTGTAACAAACAACAAACAGGTAAACAACAACATTTAGCTGCTACCGTAATAGTCTATTAATAATCGTCACTGTAGCTGGCTGAAACTGTCCAAAATCATAACAGATAACTTTAAGGAAACAAACTTCTGAATAGGACTAGTACGTCTTTTGCAAACGATTAACTGTAAGTCTTAATCCTTGTCCTGCTGGCATTCCTGGCACAATATGTTTCAATAATTTCATGTCTTAATTAGATCATAGACCCCCAATTTTTTTTTGCCCTGCAGTGGCATAGTTACTTCCGCATTTGTTGCATTTCGCTGTGGTGTGATGCGTTGCATGAGAAATACCCCCAAATCGTACCTACATGTATACAGGGTGTTATATAGATGGTACTGTATGTGCAGAACAACAATTGTTGGGCTCCGCAGGACAAGGGGTTATTAAAACTTAGCAGTAGGAGTGACAGGGTGGTCTTCCTGGTCACAATTGAAACATTTCTGTAGTACAGTATATGTTACATACAAGGAAGATGTATTTGCAGTGTCACGAATTTAAGTCAAAAGGGTCACTGCAAAACCACAAAAATAAAACCATTGTAAAACTTTCACAATTCACAATGTATGTCTCAGAGTGGGTTTCCATGACTAGGAGTTTGTTTAACCCTCTGCCAACTAATATGGATTTTTGGCATCAAATTTGTAAATTGACTGTCATGTCAGGTAGTAGGGAGAAGTTTCAAAATTTGCTTTAACCGTACTAGCACTGTAGACAAATGAGAAACAAACAACAACAAAATAACTAGATAATGAGACCTGTTAGTTACCACATCTACTTCTTAATCTTTACTGATGATGATCTCCACAGCATCAAATTGTCTGCAGCTGAAAATGTCAAAAAGGTTATTTCTGCACATTCACACATTCTACTGTAACAGTTAAACTTTTCTCTAAACAACTGTAGGGATTATATTAAGATCTACATTTTTTGTGTACAAGCAAGATAGAATATTTTGAGAGGTACACAATGGTACTAATACTTACCCTGACTTTTTCTGAGGGAATATACTTCTTCCAAGAGAACTAAAATGAGAAAAAACAGCACAGAAATGTAAGTTAGAAACATCTTAATCCTGTTCATTTATGCATAAAAAGTTACCGTTTCCCATAGTGGAAGAGAATCCTGAGCTCCTATTGCTTAATCTCCAAGCAGATCTTTCGGTGGCCACAAAGGCAGTATCAAATTGGCCAGGCAGTTATCATCCATGGGCCATCTGAGGCAAATGGATACTGCCTGGCCAATTTGATACTGTCTTTGCAGCCATGCACCAATAGATCTGCTTGGAGATTACTAATGGTAGCTCTGGGATTGGTTCTCTTGAGTTAGACTTGGAGTTGTATGATGGCCACAAACTCTCATGGAGGATCAGCCCCAATCATCCCCTGATAGCGAGAACTTGTGTAAGACAGGCTAGCGGTCAAAAGTATTATTGTTCACCAGAAGTCCATATACCTGTCTGCAGCTGACATCCTCCTCTTGTATCTCCACAGCGTAGTGGAAGGTGATGTCCCCCATGTTCTCCCGGGTCAGGGCCCGAACACTCTCCGTAACAAATGTCTCAAACTCCATCCCAGACTCCACAGCCATCTCATGCATATCATCTCCATCAACTGCAAATTGTCAACAAATATTAAGAAAGAAACTAGAAGGGTAACATTTGCAAAGCAAATGCATAATGTTTACCTTCGCATATGGTCTGCTCTGGTAGTTCTTACTCAAATACATTGTACATTAATATATATGGTGACAGGAGTCTAAATCCCTCTTGCTATGAAATTGCAACATGATGTAACCAACACCAGTTACCATGGTGACAGACGTCTGGTCCAGGTCATTTACCTTGTATGTTTGGAGAAGAAGAAAAGGAAACAGAGCAAAACAATATGTTTTCCTTTGGTGAACATAACTAAGAGCATTGGGCAGGATTCGAACCCGAGACCTCTTTAACGGGGTCTGAGCCGAACACGCTCAGACCAGTGGCACATCTAGTATTTTAGAAAAGTGTCACTTACCGTGTCCAGTCCAGGCTGTGAGTCCGTCAGAAAGTGTTAGCTGAAATCCTTCCCTGCCATTCTGTAACACATTCGTCAGCAGGTAGAAGGGCTGGCCTCCTGCCTGCAGTTTGCACAGCGTTCTCATGGAGGCGCTGCAACATTAGACCAGAAATCAACATCAATGTTATATACATGTACCTTCTTATTCTTTGGTACAGTTCATATATAGATGTTCATAATCTTGTTGTGTGACCTGAATAGGTAGGCCTTGGGTTTAGCTATAGGGTCATGCAGTATAGACCAGTGAAATCTTTCATAATTACAAGTTGTAGAAATATTATAGGCCACTAAAAATCATAATTCAAATCGTTATGAGAAAACAAACCTACCTGAATACTCGTCTACTCAAATGCATAGCTAAGAAATGAAAATATTATATACTCTACCGATCTTTCTATATCTGGACCGTCCTTGGTTATACTCTGTTGTGGGGAGGGGGGCACAGAACTCAGTCCGCGTTTTGGGAGTTCGTTTTATACCTTGAGACATGACATGCTACGAAAGTAACTACCTTACATAAACAGAGAGAGGAACAATACACAACTATCCATACCTGCTGTGTAGTTTCAGTTTTTCTCGTTTAACCAAGAACGCTAGGACACGACCGGGCAGATCTCCTTAAATGTACACTTCCGGGTTTGTGGACTAAATACATGTAGCACTATATTCTGCACATACACATATCTAAATTTTCCTTGTCATTTTATTTAAGTAAACACGTGTTAATATTCTATTTACTTAGTATAATACTGTAATGCATGTCAGTTTGAGTCAGGCAAATTTTTCTACCTTTCGTTACATAATGTTGAATTTAGCGTTGTGGTTTGGAAAATAAATTTTTGTCGCTGAATCGGTGGCTACGATTGCCGTGCGTATTTTCCGTTCAGCGACGACACTTTTCCAGCGGTTGCTAACTTTCTTTGCTGAAAATATGGTAGGTTTTCTGCAACATTTTGGGCTAAAACTGCACTTTCTGATGTTTAGCTAGCATGAATGTGTTTCAGAGATATTTTAGAAAGGCTTGCGGCCACATTTTGATGTTGAAAAGCGAGAGAAAAGTGAGTTGCAGATGTTGTAGTGATGTGACGTGTCAGGGAAAGGGGGAGGGGGGCGAAAAAGTTTGGAGCGCGGAGCCTCGTTCAGCTCTCGTAAAATTTGTTAGTTCTGAGTCTTCTGGAGAATACAGTATTATGAACTGGTACTAAGCGAGACCTGACACCTAGAGACCACGTTAGCGTAAAGGAAGGCTGCTAAAGGAAGGGCAACAACAACTATTTTTGGCTACGAAATATGAGAAAATATATGTTTGGTGATGGCAAAAATTATTATCATTATGATGTCTATCTAAATAAAAAATATATATATATATCGATTTTCAATATCTAATGATGAATTGTAATATATTAGTTATTAGTTAATTAGTTAACAAATGTAGCATGCATGACGTTTGAAAAGCAAAGACAGCTGGGATTTGAACTCTCAACCTCTTGGTCCAGACTGAGAGGCAGGGTCTCTAACCACTTTACTATGCGTGCAACATATATCTGTATCTGTATAGCCGGTATAGCCACCCTTCGGCATAACACACCAGCTTCTGTATCTTTATAGCCGGTATAACCACCCTTCGGCGTAACACACCAACTTCTGTATCTGTATAGCCAGTATAACTGCCCTTCGGCATAACACACCAGCTTCTTTATCTGTATAGCTGGTATAACCGCTCTTCGGCGTAACACACCAGCTTCTGTATCTTTATAGCCGGTATAACCGCCCTTCGGCGTAACACACCAACTTCTATATCTGTATAGCCAGTATAACTGCCCTTCGGCATAACACACCAGCTTCTTTATCTGTATAGCTGGTATAACCGCTCTTTGGCATAACACACCAGCTTCTGTATCTGTATAGCCGGTATAACCGCCCTTCAGCATAACACACCAGCTTCTGTATCTGTATAGCCAGTATAACTGCCCTTCGAGCGTAACACACCAGCTTCTTTATCTGTATAGCTGGTATAACCGCTCTTTGGCATAACACACCAGCTTCTTTATCTGTATAGCTGGTATAACCGCCCTTCGGCATAACACACCAGCTTCACAGGCATGTGCCATGGTGGCAGCTAGCTAATCATACTGAACGACAAGTTATAACTCGAACAACTGAGCAGAGTTGGTCTGAGCTGATGATTTTGCACTGCATAGTACCATAGTGTAGAAAAGTCAGGTTGGAAACACTGACTGACGAAATGGTACTTTCATTTTTGCAGTCGGCGATTTTCAACTTCCAGTCCCTTTTGGTGGTGGTACTGTTGCTGATTTGTACGTGTACGTATGTACGGGCCATGGCACCTCGTATGCTGGACAAGAACAAGACTGGGTAAGGTATAAATACATGTACTACCTGTAGTTAACTGGGGTTAGCCTATAAGCTTTATTATCAAAGATACATACATTTATGTGCCATGTATTTGTCATTTAAAAGAGAAGAAACTATGGTTAACAGTAGATGCTGAATAGGGTATATCATTGTTGTAATACAATGACGCAAGTCATAGACTTGTAGTACTTAGTGTTAGAATGTAGCTAGCATTTCAGTGTTCATATTATGTTTTATAATTATATCCCCTGGACCACATAAGGTCATGTGCTTTAGCACATCAAGGCAAGAATCATAAATGCAGATTATTCATTGTATTATCGGTACATAATACTATACCTCATTTTATCACCATCTTAATATAGACATACAGCATTATGTTGTTGGCAGTCAGACTCAAAGTGTAAAATAAAATTTTAGAATGACACAAGAATGCCCATATTTATCTGTTACAGGATCCTAGGAATTTTCTGGAAGTGTGCTAGAATAGGTGAGTCAAATCAACGTCATTACTATCTTCTAAACTGAATAGGAAGGACTTCTGTGGATGATGATAGACAATTTCTACCTTCTTTCATTCCACTATGTCTTCCCTGCAAGCAAACTTAACTCTGAGTTTCTTTGCAGATCACCCATTCCTTTGTTTTTGATGTCTGTCCTTCCATGGTTAAAAGCTGTACAATGCTTGTAAAATGCAAGCTCTAGTTTGTCTTTATAACCCTTTTCCTACTAATCTAGTTTCATGTCATAGGTCATTGCTGATACATTTTTAACAATGTAGCAGAATTTGTATTCGTTACAGAAAGAAGGTTATTATGCTATGGACCCTCTTGGAAATTAGCAATTGATGTTGAAGAGGCCACCCAGGTGTTGTTTAAGATGAAATAAGTAAATCATCATTATGTATTTTGTTTTGTTCTTTCATCAGGAGAGAGGAAGAGTCCGTACGTAGCTGTATGTTGTATCGCCATGGCTTTAGGCATTCTGTTCTGGGACTGACACTACAGGCATAGCAAGGACATGTACACTGCAGATCCACATTCAACATCAGCAAATCCCAGCCAGTTACCGCTCTTCACAGAAGAACTATTCGACATCATGTATACATGGGACAGTTTGGTGGACTTTTGAGGAGCTTTTTGATTCTCGTCTTGGACACTGTGCCCATTCCATAGGAACTCAGATATAACCCTTACTTCTTATTTACGTTCAGCAATAGGATCTAGTATTATTTAAGCCATTCTCACACAGTTACCGGTACCATTGAAATGGTTGCTCAATGTTAGACAGTTAGAAGAACTACAGTACAGTATTGTCTATTTGACACTGTACTTACACTATTGCAAGTAATAGTACCCCCCTCCCCCATAGCAAACTTGGATGAATAATTTACATGTAGGTATGTATCAAGAGTGTTTGAATGTCAAGTTATGTCTGTAATATTAACTCACCAGTTTGCTGATACACCAAATGTGTAAAGCCAATGCCCATACTTTATAATAGAAACATCTCCAATATATACTTGAACAAGTTAAGTGAATGGATTTGTGTATGCCATATGTAGTAGTGTATGCTTTTTTTTGTGTGTTGACATTTACGTTTGATTCCCTTGGATCATAAAAAGAAGAGTTAAGTTTGCTAGCATTTTGTGTTCATGTGGACAGTTAAATGTAAGTCTCACCTTTGGAAATATGGAGTGGCATACATTTTTATTGTACTCACTCACAATGTATCAACTGTTACAGTGGTGTTTTGAAACGTCTTGTACATTGTACAAGTGATTTTCTATAAACTAATTTATAAGTAAACCAACAATTGCAACAGCCTCTTTCATTTTTTAGTCCAGGGTGTCTCAAGGACATATCTAGCCAGAAAAGCCAGGAATCAAACCCATGACCTCTTGATCTCTTGTCATCTGGCCTAACTACAATGTACTCAACCACATAACAGCAAAAAACTCAATGAAAAAATGAAAGCCTTTGAAAATATTGGCCCTATATTTATTGAAAAAAAACAACAGACATATATGATTATAACAACATGGTGAAACTAGTTATGGTCATCTACAATATCACACTTTTCAGGTGACCAGGATATAACTGGTCAAAGGCAGTAGACATTTACAAGAGTTTATGAAGACAAAGTATCTTATACATGTACATTTTCTTACCCTTCTCCCTGCTGCCTTACTCCAACGCCAATACAAATATGGCAAAAAAGGCTGACTTAGTAGGGAAAAGGTTAAAAGACCGTTGACATGTCAAGAATATTCAGAAGATGAAAAAGTGCGATAGTGTTGCCCATACAAGGCAAATAAGCTTTAAGTTTTTTAATCTGAAAAATGGTGTACCATCGTCTTGCCTCATAAAACTTGTAAGTATCTTATTTTGAACATCATTGTACGCCCTAAGTCAACATACATGAGTAAAGAGTGAGGGTATACATTGTACATATTTACATCATAGAAGTGATGTTTGAATAGACTAAGCTGTCAAACTAGGCATCAGTGCTGGTAGGGAACTGGAAACGAAATAAGCAAAAATTCTTCTACACTCAGTCCATCTATTATCACTAGCACCATCACCGTTGATATAGTATTACAAAATTTTGAAACTAAGTATACATTCAAGTTTTAAACATAACAGTTAAGTATAGAAAATTATTATTAATTGTACTTAATGGATACTATTATTAAACAATACCTTGGTTTATTGAATGAAACTTAAAGCTACAAATTTTGAGCTTTTTTGTAAAGCAAGGTAAATACTACCAAAATATAGCACCATTATGAGAAACAATAAGAATTTATTCTAGCTAATAATAAGCACTGAACTGCTTATTGATAAGCAAAAAAGAATGAGTGTAAAACAGTAGATGCTTGCTTTAAAAAACTGTTAATATAGATAATTGTGCAGAGAAGTGTGAAGTCAAAGGCACAAAATGAAAGGTAACGCTAGTAACATGAATCAGTTAAAGAAAGAAAAGATGGCGAACATGTAGCTATTTAAGCAGTTGTGCTTTGGTACGTGTCACTGTTGCACATGAACACAACAGCCACGCCCGCTCTCGGCGACATGACGTTCGCAGTCATGTCCGACGAACCCTTAAAGCAGCGCCCCACCGCGGTATTCTTCGCGACTGAAGGGTCGGGGGCCGTGACGGTGTAGATACCGTAGTTGTGGCCCAGCTGGTCGAGTGGCGCGTAGAAAGCGAAGCGTCTGTCGGATTTCTGTTCGTGGACGGGCGGGTGGAGACGCAGGTATTCGTCCAGCTCGTCCTTTATGCGGATACGTCTGCAGTTGCCCTGGAAATGGGATCAGACGATACATTAGGGTGTAAATTTGTATGGCATACATACGCCACTTCATAGTATTAATGCATTATATTTGTACTCATTCCCTCTTTCACATTAAGCTCAAGAAAGTGCATTGAAACCGGAATCCATTGAAGCCCATCTGAATGCCTACAAGTGAAACTATCCATGGACTAATACCATGTGATGCATTGTGTGTGATGTACTGTGGGTAATGCCATGTGATGCATTTCCCACAATGCATCACACCATTTACCCAAAATGCATCACATCATTTACCCACAATGCATCACATCATTTACCCACAGTGCATCACACCATTTACTCACAATGCATAAAGAAACGCTCATTTGAGAGACGACTTTAATACATGAACGTTCTATCCTCCTGATACTACTAGTATATTGCAACAACCCAAAGATCTGCTTGGAGATTATAATTTACCCACATTACATCATATACATGGCACTGTACATGAGCTACATTACATGACACTGTGCTGAGCTAGCTTATACAGCAACACTGACTTGAGGGACGACTTCCACAAAGGTTTTGTCCTCCTGGTCCTGGTCGTACAGCATACCGGCACACTTGAACTCGATGCAGGTGGCGGAGACGTTGCCTTGCCCGGTAGACTGGTCGTCCCGCAGACCGTACACCTTCCCCCGCGTCACCGGGTGGGTCCCGCCCGAACTGATGGTACGCACCGTCACACGGTCCTCACTCATTATCTTCACCTGTAGGAGTGGCGAAAGAAAATGGATGTAGACGGGGGGGCGCTATAAACTTTCTGCAAATTTGATTGAGTGTTCACTCATTATCTTCACCTGTAGGAGTGGCGAAAGAAAATGGATGTAGACGGGGGGCGCTATAAACTTCCTGCAAATTTGATTTAGTGACTGTTCACTCATTATCTTCACCTACTGGAGTGGAGAAAGAAAATGGATGTAGACGGGGGGCGCTATAACCTTTCTGCAAAGTTGATTTAGTGACTGTGTTCACTCTTTATCTTTACCTACTGGAGTGGAGAAAGAAAATGGATGTAGACGGGGGGCGCTATAAACTTTCTCCAAATTTGATTTAGTGAATGTGTTCACTCATAATCTTTACCTGTTGGAGTGGAGAAAGAAATGGACATAGACAGGGGGCGCTTTAAACTTTCAGCAAATTTGATTTTAGTGTTCACTCATTATCTTCACCTGTTGGAGTGGAAAAAAATGGATATAGACGGGGGACGCTATAAACTTTCTGCAAATTTGATTTAGTGTTCACTCATTATCTTCTCCTGTTGGATTGGAGAAAGAAAATGGATGTAGACGGGGGACGCTATAGACTTTCTGCAAATTTGATTTAGTGACTGTGTTCACTCATTATCTTCAACTGCTGGAGTGGGGAAAGAAAATGGATGTAGACGGGGAGCACTATAAACTTTCTGCAAATTTGATTTAGTGACTGTGTTCACTCATTATCTTCAACTGCTGGAGTGGAGAAAGAAAATGGATGTAGACGGGGAGCACTATAAACTTTCTGCAAATTTGATTTAGTGACTGTGTTAACTCATTATCTTCAACTGTTGGGGTGGAGAAAGGAAATGGATGTATACGGGGGTGCGCTATAGACTTTCTGCAAATTTGATTTAGTTAGCTCATTATCTTCACCTGTTGTAGTGGAGAAAGAAAATGGATGTGTCATGTAGACGGGGGGCGCTATAAGCTTTCTACAAATTAACTCCCGTCTAAGCCACACGGCGATCTACGTCACCACCCTTAAATACGCAAGCGTAGCGAAGCCACGTGGTACAAGTATAGCCAGCTCTGTCTTGCAACATAACGTAACCCAACACCACAGGGTGTCTGTTACAGGACCAGTTACCGTGGTGACAGACGTATGGTTCAGGTCATTGAAACTGAGCAAATGCAATATGTATGTCTCCTTCTGCGAAGGTAAACATAACTAACAACTATATGTGTCCCTACCTTAATGTAGCAGGCGCGGAACTCTAGAGGGTTTGGCCACCAGGACATGTGGTCAGGCGTCCAGGACATCAGGTCCGACTGGTCAAAGTACACGGAGTTGTACTCATACTGCATCCCTTCAGTACGGTAGAACCTAAGGAAAGTACAACAGACAATTGAAAGGATTTGTGTTTGTTTTGTAAAATCTTTGCTTATTACTTTCCCGCCACTTAGGACTTTACTTGAAGTGATTATCTTTATATTTGGCATTATGACACCTGTTCTATGGAGGACACTGACGGCCAGACTCAGTGCTAAGCAGAAACTGCGGCGATGTTGATGATCATGATTGAAACTGTAAACTTCTTTTTGAAAACCTGAAACCCAAAACTGTTTTTCCGTTTTCCTCCAAATCATTCCTTTCCGTCACTCATTTCTTTCTTTATCTGGAGTTTTTATCTTCATATTTGGCATTAAAACTTCGTCGTTGAAACTATGAAATTTTTCAAAACCTGAAATCCAAAAGTACATTTTCTGTTTTACCCGTCAAACCATTCCTTTCTGCCCCTTAAGTCTTTACCTGAAGTGATTGTCCTCATATTTCGCGTTTTCACATGTCTCCTTGTCGTCCCAAGGATAGAGAGGCCCCTGTCCGTACCACACGGCGTTAGGCCCGGGCTTCGGCAGATTGGTGAAGATGGCGTTCGGCTTGGCTTTCGGGTCGTCGTGGTCGCTTCGCTTGTAGTCGAGATGCGTCAGGACGTCCCGAGTGATTCCGATCATGTCGGCGTCGGCGGGGTTGGAAGGAGCGGCCGCTAGAATTTCTTCGTCGATTTCCGCGATGATCTGTCCGGTGTAGGCGTCGGCGCGTTGGTCATCACAGAACGCGAACACGCACGCGCCATTCGGGCCCGTCACCGCGCTTTCAAACCGCCCCCAAGATGGCGGCGGCGCGCTGTACCCTTCCTTAGGATCAAGGTTAATCAAGGTCACGGTCACGCCCTCTACTTGACCCATCTTCTCAAAGTTTTCATCATTGAAGGCGCGAACTTTAGCCCAACACCGTCGCTTCGTCGGCATGTCAAAGTTCAACAACCTGTTTTCCCTCATTTCTGTGTTCCCGACAAGTAACACACGCGATTCGCGTTTTCTTCTCTTGACGGTCTGGGGTTTGAATCCCACCTCTTCCTCCCAAAGTCCCGTCTCCGGATTCATAGACCACAACTTGATGTCCTCCAAGTTTGTATCCGGGTGCAGGTTGAACTGAGAGGGATCCAGGAAGAAATCTACCTTGCCGCCAACTTGGAGTTTACTGTTTTGCTCGTCACGAAAGTCCATGTCGAACATCCCAAATGTCCGCAGAGGAAAGTTCTCGCCTTCGCTGTCGATGAAATTCAAGTCGCTCTGCGCTTGCTGGAAATTCGAGGTGTTTCGCGGGTCCAAGAAAGTGATGCTGGCCTTGACTTTTCCTCGATATTTCCTCCCGTCGCTTGTGAAGAACCTTTCTGGGGGAATGTCCAATTCCGCGACCGGGTCTCTGTCTTTCACATCGCTGAGTTCAATGGTGACTTCTTCGTCTGAATTGATTTCGATCGGCGGCGCTTTTCTTTGAAGCCGCACAACGTGGAAGATTGCGCCACCCTTTTTCTTGAATGGGAGGATTTTTGTAGAGTCTATGAACTTTCCAGAACGATCGACAAAGGTTACCGCCAATCGGTCTGTGTCGCTGGGAATGTCAAAAGAGAAGGTACCGTGAAACCCGGTGAAGGCGACTCTCTCTTTCCCCTTGAAGATCAGCCCGAAGCGAAGCGGTTCCCCGTCGTCCCCGGCGATAGCGCGGCCTCGGATGGTGATCTTCGGGCGGACACAGTACCGGCAGCCGCAGGTTTTCGCCACGCGGATCGGTAACTGGTAGTCCTTGCAGAACAGCGTCTTCTGCTCGAACATGATGGTGCCGCAGCAATACTCTGAAGCAAAGATAGAAAAAGTATCAAAGAGCAAAGTCATGCGTGTTTCCATTCAGGCTTTCCACAATCTTTGAGCACACGGAGTGGCCTCTACCAGGCAACTGGAAAAAGTAGAAAACGGCTGGAAAGAGCAGAAATTGGCCAAATTGACAGAGATCATATGCCAGGGGAGTTGGTCCGCGCTAAGAGAACAGTTTGCCGCTCCACAACTCTCTTGGCGCAGACCAACTTCCCTAGCACATCATCTCTGTCTATTTGGTCAATTACTATTCTTCCCAGCTGCTTCCCGAAGTTGCCTAGAAGTTGGTCTGTAAGCCAGTGGTCTGAGGCTATTGTAGGGGACATAAGTCACGAAAGTTTGTTTTGTAAAGACACCTTATGCTGTAAGAAATCCTAAATGGATAATTTACGGCAATTTACGGATCGGACTACTTTGTCAATGTGTGCTTTTCATGGTCTAAAACTCAAGTAGGTTATTTTTGACAGCGTACTCAGCATAGTATTACGTCCTAGATGTTTACCATATATTTCTATGGCAGTATGGGAGCTTGAGTCCTGCCCCCGGTACAGGGCTGTTGTACTGGGCGGGGAGGAAGCTATCAGAGCCCCAAAGACACAGCCTGCCTGAACACCCCAAAAGCCCCAATCACGTAAGACTGGATACCAGGCTATGCCCCTAGTACTTACCGACTTCTTCCTTACATCCCGCTGAGCTCGCCTCCCCTCGGCAGGGCTCGGCCTCGCACTTCCCCACGTTGGCATAGTAACCGCCGGTCTCCTCCTGGTAACAGTCGTCAGGCAGCTTGATGAAATGGTCGCCCGGTGTCGGGTTACACGCACCCTCCGACTTTTCTAAGGAAAGAAAGAAACGGCGATAAAAGTAAAAATACGTCATATTTTTCATGATTATCGTCTTGTAGCAAGATATTTGGAGGGAAAAAATCAAGAGTCATTAAAAGCCCATACATAACAGTAAGTAGTATTTTTAAGATACCCCCAATATAAAAGTCGTCAGCCATATCTTTTTGCTACTGTTGCAGTTATAGTTCTTGTCAAAAGCCTATGGTATGGACATGATCATTAACATAGTATATTTTCGCGGACCCCATTGCAAGCTGGGAAACGCAGGGCACTATGGGAAGTTCAGGGGCAGTTCTGTGCATTTTATTCTATTACAGGATCTTATTGTACATGTTCTGCATTAATTGAATCAAATCCTCGGTAGTAATGGTCATTATACAATAGGTGGACTTTTTTTTTTACCTCTGACCGTTAGAGTAGCCTTTCCGGAGAACACTGATCCGGATTCTGACGTCGCTCTGCACCGGTACACGCCCGCGTCACGTGACGTGACGTCAGGCAGCTGTAACGTCGTGTAGTTGGACTTGGACTTGTCCATGAGTTTGCCGTCCTTGAACCTGGAAATGACGTCATTGTTATGAGAGAAAATCAAGTTTAGCGATGTGGAAGATACGAAGGCCCACAGCGACAACTTTAACGCCTGTGCGAATTATTTCTGTGTGTTGGAACGTACCATTCATATTTCGTAGGGGGTGGATCTCCCTTCGCATCGCAGCAGAACGTAACACTGTCACCCACAAACCGGGCCTTGTTCTGAGGGTGGCGCATTATGGTCGGTTTACCTGCATGGAAACAAACAAGATCGTTTTGTAACCTTATAATTGCAACTGTAATAGCTTTTGATTTTATTGCAAATACCGTAAGGCCTATGTACTTTGAAGACATGAAATGGATGAAAGTTCAGCACCAAGGACAGACCCAAGAGATGGCAGACACATTGATGTATTTAATTTTTTTTTCCTTGAGGTTCCTTCTAAACTACCCGGATTGAGTATTACATGACTCATTTTTCTTATTTTCGAAACCACGTAATGGTTTACAGCAAAAAATCCTGTCAATTAATATGGTAGAAACGAGTAGAAACGCCCTATGACGGTCTCAAACTTCGCGATTTCACGCGAACTCTCGTGAGATCGTACCTGAGGGAAACAGGACGGCGCGGACCTCTGACGTGGTGGGCCGCATGGTCTGTGCCCGGACCCGGAGTGGGACATACTTGTCTTTCTTGATCAGAACTTCTTCACCGTTAGAGCACACGTCTTCGATCTGGAACCTGGGAAAAAAAGCACAGTAGAAGGATTGTTAAAAGAAAAAGGCACCCAAACGACCACTGGTATTTTGATTTTCGTGCTGTAGTTTATTTCAGAAGGGGGAAATATATCACGTCAGCAGAACGTACTGTACCTATGCGAAACCCTAATTTTGCACGATTTACGAATTAGTTGGATGTTTGGTCAACGTTGCATCAGAATTTTGCCCGTTGCAGGCAGTATCTTTTCCGACACAATATTTGAAAACTATGGACGGGATGTCATCTTTACATACGCGAATACGACCTTATACGAGATGCTCTGCCGAAGTACACATTTTTGTACCGTCGCCATGACAATGTATGTTTTTTATTGCCATACTTGTTGTGACTGCTTACCGTCCCTTGTCGTCCGTTACTGTGACCGGTTCGTACGGCTTCTCAGCCAGATACACCCGCGCCTTCTCCACAGGACGCTTGTTGGGGTCAGTGACCCTGCCCTTCATCACGTGACCAGGGCACTCGCAGAAGTCACAGTCCACGCTGAGAGTACCCATGGTGCATTGCCTGGAGCAGTCTGGAAGGAAGAAAGTCGACAAGAATTCGGTGAGTAAAATACTAAAATTTAGATGTTTTAAAGTAGTTTTTTGGGATGAACATACAAGGCACATACACACATGCACACACGCTAGGTTAATATACCTATACTTAGTACTGAACACCCACGCACACGCGCGCGCGCGCACAGTTGAACATGTCTGTCCTTGGTGCTGAACGCTATCCACACCCAGGTGAACATGCCTGTCCTTTGTGCTGAACATCATCCACACACAGGTAAACATGTTTGTCCTTGGTGCTGAACACTATCCACACACAGGTGAACATGCCTGTCCTTGGTGCTGAACATCATCCACACACAGGTAAACATGTTTGTCCTTTGTGCTGAACACTATCCACACACAGGTGAACATGCCTGTCCTTGGTGCTGCACGCTATCCATGCCTGTCCTTGGTGCTGAACGCTATCCACATACTGGTGAACATGCCTGTCCTTGGTGCTGAACGCTATACACACACCACAAACTCTTCCTTACCTGGACATTTCCAGTCTGCGCATGCCCTCTGCTGTGAGCTGGCCCCGTCGCACTGTTTCCCGCCATGCCGCGGTGCAGGCTGGGTACATGTCCGGCGCCGCTCCTCCACCCCTCCCCCGCACTTAGCCGTGCAGGTGGACCACTCTCCCCAGTCCGTCCAGCCACCGTCTATAGCTGCTCACGGAAAAACACCGAGAAACATTATCATGAAAGTTCATCTGTGTTGGTACTAATCAGATGAACCGGGACGAGGGGGGATACAAACTAAATAACCACGTTGTTGACATAGCCTATCCGTACTTTAGCCTTCATCAGGTTCAAATGATCATCGACTTAGGACACGTCACATAACTGAGCTCTAATGTAAACAAATTACGAATGTATCTTAAGGATATTTGACTGTTTTGTTTCATCTTTTCTAAGCCGATATCAGTGTGATAGTATGTACTTTAAGTAACGACCGCTCGGTGGTGCACTCACAACTCACAAAACTCAAGCCATTGTCAGTGTGTAACAACAGAAAGGAAACAAACGTTACAGCAACCAAAATTTTATGAAAGCTATGAAAAGAAAGACACGTATATTGCGGTAGTCCAAAAAGCAGGCAAACCAGTTGTGTGTAAAAGCTTAAAATTGCAGGCAAATAAAAGAAAATAACTTGAAAATAATTATGTAAAGGATAGTATTTGCTGTAGTAGGTAAACAAGCAAAAAATCTTCACTCCCTTTTTTCTTAATACATGTATATGAACTTACATTGCTGACGATTCCCACAATTCCTTGCGGAACACACCCACTCCCTGTGCTGTTACTGTTGCATGGCGGGAGCTGCTTGCCGGTTAATTAAAAAACTGTTATATGTATTACTGGTTACGTAATTATCTAACGTCACGATGTCACTGGTTACGTAATTAGCGACGTCACGGTATTACTGGTTACGTAATTAGCTGACGTCACGGTATTACTGGTTACGTAATTAGCTGACGTCACATGTATTACTGGTTAGCAGCAGAAGCGAGGCCAACTCACGGGAGCATTTAACCCTGCCACAAATGCGCGCTTGCACCACGGGCCCAGAGCACTTCACTTCACTTTGGAAACACTGCTTACGTTGTCTCGTCTGCAGTTTTTTGGCGCCACAGCGGCCACTTCTGGCTCCACACTCGCTCCAGGCAGACCATTCTGGAGTCGTGGTAGTCTTGACTGCACGTGTGAACAGAAAAAAAAAGAAACTAGAAAGGTACCATTTGCAAAGCAAATGCATAATGTTTACGTTCGCATATGCTTACACATTCTTATATATGGTCAGACAGGAGTCTAAATCCCTCCTGCTATGAAGTTGCAACATCATGTAACCCAACACTACTTACCATGGCAAAAGTCACAACATTGGATCAGGTCAGAGGTAACTGTTTGGAGAAGAAGAAGAAGAAACTGAGCAAAAACAATAGGTTTTCCTACCTTTTTTCCTAGGCAGGTCCCTACACCAAAAGCGTACGGTGTAGTCCGAGCAGGTCTCGTTCCCACGCTGTTCGCTGTTCAGGCACCAGAAGCCGTTGCCGGGGTTGGCGTGGAACCTTGGGGACGAGAACAGTAAGTTATGTTTGCGTGGAAGCCATATTGTAGCCAGGGCCTACAGGTCAGCGTTTCGGCCCCAAGGCCAACATGCCCCAAAGGAAGCTTTCTCTGTGTCGTCCTCAAAGAAAACCTTGAGCTCAAGGCTTTCCTGGATACAGACTGGCTTCCATACAACGTTATGTTGGTAAAACGACAGCTATAGAACTGTTTTGGAGCATACTAGTAGTAGATGGGGCGACCATTTTGACCTCAATGCGACCTTCAAGGCAGTCTGCGGTTACATAATTTACTCCTCACTTCCACTTATTCACTGTATTCAAATAACTACGAACACACGTGCAAACAAGCAGACCAACACATCGATAACAAGCATTCTATTGATACGTCGTCGAAGGTTAGACATTCAGGTATTAAGATACGCCCAAAAACATTTATTCAAACATCTGGATATGATTTTGGAATTAATAGTTCGTGGTCAATATAAATCTTAAGATCTCACAAGTGTCACTACTGACGAAAGGTGGATGCTACCAGGAACGTCTGATGACCGATTCCAAAATCATATCCAGCCAGTTGCTTGAGTAACTTTGTTTGTTTGTTTGTTTGTTTGTTTTGCTTCTATTGCTAACGTTACCTTTCCCCTGTCTTGTATGCAGGTATCCCGAGGATGGTCCTGGCGTCCACCTCGGTAGGACTGTCGCACACCTCCCCGGGATGGTAGTACCGCACCGCCTCCAGGCGTTCATAGTCACCGTGTCCGGTAGGGTGGTCCACGTTAAACCAGCGCGTCCAGCCTACGGGAAAGGAAGGAAAATTAAGGTTGGTGATTTATTTATTTATTGATTGATTGATTGATTGATTGGTCAATGATTAATTGATTGATGGATGGATGGATGGATGGATGGATGGATGGATGGATGGATGGATGGATGGACGGACGGACGGACGGACGTTGGATGGATTGACATACGAAGGCAGAATGAATTGTTAAACTTTTTCAAAGCCTGAGTCGAAACTCTCTAAAGTGCCCGGTAGGTTGGTCCATGTTAAACCGTCTAGCCTACGGGGAAGGAAGTGCAGTTTTTAGGGCTTGGAAACCCGATATTTCAATGCCAATATTCTAGTCATTTATACATCTACATACTGAGTTAAAACACACTATCCCAATGTAACTTTATATTGACCCTCATAGAGCAAATATTCTGACGAAAAATGGTTACTGGATGGGCCCCGGGCTGATTTTTAGGGTACCGCCTAAAAAATAAAGGATACGTTTTGGAGCTTGTTTCTGCAGTTTTAAATACCCAAAGTATGAAATACTGATTTAATGTGCTAATGTGAAGCAGTATGTCTCAAAAACCGTATGTCGACAACCTTCATGACCATGTAGGTTTCAGAATAAAAGCAACTTTTTTTTGCCAATTTTTTTTATTCGCACGCTCGCATCAGTTTCGGGGTTCCCAGAGGACGTCATCCATATAATCAAATCAACATGGCCTAACATGATATCAAAACGAAACGGGTAACAGGGTGGCTACTATCGTCCATGTTTTTGGGGTGAGAAGGTCACAGACGGATCAGAAGGTTCCCATGGAATGATAGAACTCTGTTCGGGTCAGCCCATTTGCAGCACTGCGGGGGTGGAACAGGTGCACGTCCCTCCGTCCCCACCACACACAGTCAGGTGATATATGTACATCCGGGGGGAGGGGTGACGTACCGTGGGAACTACACAACTACAGTAAATTCTCGAATGACATAAGACTGAGGTTCTTACTCGTACTCAGAGTTTCTCAACAAGACTTAAAGCATCCATTGCAGTTTTCAGGGCTTGGAAATCCAAATTTTCAAAGCCAATATTCTAGTCATTTATCTACATACTGAGTTGAAACCACACTATCTCAATGTATATTGACTCTCATGGAGCAAAAATTCCCAAAATTCTGATGGAAAATGATTACTGAAAGGGCCCTTGGCTGATTTTTAAGATACCACCCAGAAAATAAAGGATTCATTTTGGGACCTGTTTCTGCAGTATGAAGTATGAAGTACTGATTGAAATATGCTAACGTGAACCAGTATGTGTTAATATCATAAAGATTTCCTTATTCAGAATATATCCAGTTTTGCTGCTCTGAAATCGCATTGAAGTTGGCCACTGGTCTGATCGATCTCCAAGCAGATGTTACGATGAAAAATTTGATTTCTGGTTCGCCCCTTGTATTCTATGTGTGAAGGATTCTACTAAGCCCAAACCACTGCCTTCAGTTCTTCCTGTTTGTCCAACCGACCAAAACAAGCTCCACGTTCCGGCCAAGTTCAACGACACCCGGGGCACACAACAACATCTGGTAAGGTCGTTAAGTCTCGCGAGAGTGGGCGTGGATCTCGTTACACGCTCCATCTATCTCCACTTGCCCCGTCAGTCATCTGCGAGGCGTGACGTCACATGGCCGTGAACTTCAACAAACATGGCGGGAGTGGAGCTTCATCTCCAAGCAAATATTGGGTGGGATGATTGTATCCTTTTCAACAATGAAATAGCCTGGGTGCCAGACTGGGTGCTAGGCTAGTTCCACAGCTCTAAAACTTTTACCCTCAGATAGCCTGGGTGCCAGACCCACAGCACACTAGGCTCAGATCTAGAGTTATCCCTTGCACACAGGATAACTTTGAGCGTAGTGTACGTTGGGTCTGGCACCCAGGCTATCCCTCAGATAGACTCTGAGCTCGAGAGATGATTTAGACCCCCAGATGTTGATTCTGGGATCGGGGCTTCCCCCTAGCCTCTACCAGGCTTCGGGAGGCGGCTGGAAAGTGTAGAAATTGGCCAAATAGAGAGACAGCATACCAGGGGAGCGGCAAACTGTTCTCTCCAGCAGACCAACTCCCCTGGCATGTTATCTCTCTATTTGGCCTATTTCTACTCTTTCCAGCCGCCTCCCGAAGCGCCTGGTAGAGGCTAGCTTCGCCCAGCCGAAGGGAGTCGATTGTGTTGAGCCGGGGTCTGGTATCCATGCTAACAACGTACATTGACATGACAGTTGTCATCACCTAAATGATGTGTCACTCAAAGTTCTGCTGTCTTCTATAAATAGTGGAAAGTAATCATAGATGCTTATTTCATTGTCTCAGGGTCGTACGACAAAAAGCCGTACACCAAGAGTTGTACGAAAACAAGTTGTATGACAAACGTTTGAAAGTCGTACATAATCGAGAGTTGTACGAAAATTAGTCGCACATCGAGAGTCGTACGACAAAAACGTCTTAGTTTACGCCTTGCATCGCTGTACCCCAACTCCTAACGTTTGTGACAGCGGTGATCCGGAGGGGAATTAGGAGGCCTAAAATCAATTAGATTTTTCCCATTCCCGATGTCGTCACGTCTCTCCACATTAACATTCCTTACGGCGGTGGTCCCGTGTCCTCGGAACACCCCGTACGGTGGAGTGGGGGTTCTCTCGGAGATGTCACCACTCTCTATCCCACGCACCACCCTCCCCGACACTCAAGGGATCTCAGGAATCTGCGCGCAATGCTTAGAGGCATCCAACGCACTTTTTAGGGCTTGAAAACCCGATTTTCGGCTTGAAAACCCGATTTTCAATGTCAATATCCTAGTCACTTATCCACATACTGAGTTGAAACAACACTATCCCAATGTATATTGACCCTCATGGAGCAAAAATACCCAAAATTCTGACGGAAAATGGTTACATGTACTGGAAGGGGCCTGGGCTGATTTTTAGGGTGCCACCCAGAAAAATGGACTCATCTTGGGGCTTGTTTCTGCAGTTTTGATAGCCCAAAGTATGATATGCTGACTCAAATGTGCCAAATTTGCCTCTATATTGGCCCCGGACGCAAAAATATTACACCGATATTATGAATGTGTTTGGTATCCAACTGCTGAATGATACTTCTTTCCATGGGGGTAGAGTTGATTCAACTTGGTACAATCCTAATTCATCAACTTGAGTCAGTTACTTATAAAGTAGCTCCTGAAGTTGATAAATGTGTCCACTAAGCTTCCTTCCTTCAGTTGGGAGTTAAGAGGCCAAAAGGTGCCTCCCACAGATGCCAAAAGGCTGAGGTAATCTAGTTTAGGACGTTTCCTTCCGCCACCAGTCAAGGCCGACGCGGATGTGAGACCTGGCGGTGCCCGGTGCGGAGGTCTCCCGCGGGACGCCGCCTGACGCCCCGGGTCTTCAGACCTCGCTCCTCCCGCTGAGGGCAGGCCGGTAGCGCCCGGAGGGGAGCGGCACCGGCCTACTACCGAGCAAATCAGTTGGTTACGCGATTACGGGTGTCAACAACGCTTCTCCCTGATCTTGCGACTGAGTGTTTTTGAAAAGTGGGGCCTGTGTACGGGCCAGATAATCTCTAAGCAGATCCCTTTCGGTGGCATGACAGTACTAAGTATCCATTCGCCAGAGAACATTGGCGGCCAACGACGGTGGACGTTGGTGGGGGTAGCTAGCGACAAAAAAAACGGCCATATATAAAAAGCTAACGATCATTCCCCCACAACCTCTGCTTGGAGAGTACGGGCCAGACCCACTAGATATATGGTACAATGTCCTCGGGTACCGGTTGGCGCTGGAGCCAGCCTGTGTATACTGGCCCTGGCAACAGTCTGGCATCCAGGCTACAGTATAGTAAAAAAGAGAATAACCAGTTTGTTACGCGATTACGGGTGTCAACAACGCTTCTCCCTGATCTTGCGATGTTTTTGATGTGATCAAGGACAGCCAGACTGGACAGCCTGGATGGCAGACTAGTCTCACTCTCAGGCCTTGTCAGGGCTAGCCTGGATACCAGACCCATAGCAGAGGGTGTGCATGCCCTTTTTCGTTAACCGTTATGGGCTATTTTAATTTACCGTTAATCGTTGCCGGCCCGCTCTAATTCAACGTTAAGCGTTATCGGTATATTCCTCGTGAAGCGTTATTGGCCGTTTTAATTCAACGTAAAACGTTATTTGTCATCCTAAATTCAGCGTTAAGCGTTAATGAATAATTCTTCGTTACGCCTGATTTTGCCCTTCAAAGTGCAGGAAAATGCGTCATTGAATGTTTATGAATACAAAATTTCCCGGGGGAGAATGCCCCCGGACCCCCCTACATTGCTCGCGCCTTTGGCGCTCGACTCGCGCTTCTGAGCTCGGTCCCTTTGGCTCTAGCCAGAACCAGCTTTCCCCTCAATTTCCGCAAGTTTGCGGAGAGTTACAGAATTTTTTAAACGAATCCGTCAACCTTGACAGGCAAATTAAAAAATCTTGAGTAAAATATGAAAACATCACAAGGACCGACAAACACTCTCAACACCATGATTTGCCTCTCAAAATGCGGGAAATTGCGTTTTTGAAGGCTTAGAAATCCTAAATTTCCCAGGGGAGCACCCCCCGGACCCCCCTAGATTACGAGTGCCTTCGGCGCTCCCCTCTCAAAATCCATCGGTAAAAGTGGGCAGACTGAAAAAAATGCACGCTGGCCGACGTCGACTCGGACTCCCCTTTATTTGTGGACGCACTCGGGGACCAGGGCAGGTGGGAAACACATACCTTTAATGCGAGCTTCATTACATGTAAGGTATACACAGTACGTAATTTTGTCAGTGATCACCTTTCAACACAAAGCGAGGTACCAAATCCAGTGCAGCTCGAAAAAAAGCCTGTCAATTTACCGTTAAGCGTTGCCGACCGTCCTGAATTTACCGTTAAGCGTTATCGGCCCTGCTGAATTTACCGTTAACCGTTGCCAGGACCCCCCCATGCAGACCCTCATAGCACACTAGGGTCTGTGCCCACTATAACTTTGAACCTAGTCTGTTATGGGTCAGGCCCGGTCAGTACACAGGCCAGATTGTCGGTCGGATCCTCTAAAAATGGTAGAAGGCTGGTAGGGGAAAGCTTTGAAAGTTTGGCGACTGTTGGTGTCAGCCAAAGTCTCGAAAAATGACACCTAACCCATTTGTTTCCGTTTCAGCCGGCGACTTTGTCCTTTAAATATAGTGATATAGTACTAGTACATCAAAAATCATCAAAGCTGTACATAGGTTACTGCCCTCTTGTGAATTTGGCATAGTTTTTAAATGGATCAAAACTGTCACAGTTCAGACGTATTTATCCATGCACTTGTGTCATGTGTATGGTAGAACACTTTCCTCACCACTTTGGGTACTGTATTAGGTCAGACCCTTCTATATAGATACCGTAACACTAGACCCTAATAAACAACACGAAATGGGCATGTCAAGCGAGGATGGCATTCTATCACCCCAATACGTGACACTGGAGCCTTAAGTATAAAAGCCCATTCATTCACCAGTTCAGAGTTCATGTATTAAGGGGAGTGATGTGGGCGTGTGTGATGATTCTAAAATTGACAGATCTACTTAACTGTTTATAAGATAAACCGAGAATTAAATTAATTATGATGTTATCAAGCCTCAGGCCTTCACAACTGCAAAATTGGTTGATGTGAAATACGTTTGGACTCTTGGTGTTTGGCAATGTTCAATAGTATCCAAACAATATCTATCACAAATGTTATAGACATAACACTTTGCGATATAATAGCCTTGAGGTTCTATGTCTAAAGGGACATTTGCCAACGCTGTCCTTGATTTAACTTTGGCATTACTGCTTAAAACATATGTTAGAACATTTGGTGTTGTTTGGGAATGTTCTAGTAGTATTCAAATAATATCTATAACAAATGTTTTAGATCTAATACGTTGTGATACAATAGCCTTGAGGTTCTATGTCTAAAGGGACATTTGCCAACGCTGTCCTTGATTTAACTTTGGCATCACTGCTTAAAACATATGTTAGAACATTTGGTTCCAAACTTAGGAACTATCTCATTTCAAGTTACTATAAGATTCTTTCAATCTCATTTCAAACGTTTAGGGGATTTTCATACAAAGAAATGAAGGGAGATGCTTTAAAAAAGAGAAGTTAGTGTGGAAGAAAAAAGAGGCAGAACTTTTTTTTTGTCACCCTGAAACGTTTTAGTGGAACAGACCTCTAGTTCAAGTGCACATTTAACCGTGACTAAAGTTCCTTGGTGGTCCTTCCGCTCAAAATCTATTTAAGCTGGAGATACCCTTAGTTTTGTTCTAATCTTGGTTCTAAAGTTGAACTCAGGGCAAACAATTCTGCACGCAGCGTTTGGAAGGTTAAGTTCAACCCAAAGTTACGCCGCTTGGGTCTTCACACACTGTTTATCAACATCTTAAGCATGTTATCGTTGGAAATACGGTACTAGTGAGGATTTGAAGTAGCAAAGACGTGTATAACATGTGGTGGGGATACAGGACAGGGCAAACAATTCTACACGCAGCATTTGGAAGGTTAAGTTCAACCCAAAGTTACGCCGCTTGGGTGTTCACACACTGTTTATCAACATCTTAAGCATGTTATCGTTGGAACTACGGTCCTAGTGAGGGTTTTAGTAGCAAAGACGTGTATAACATGTGGTGGGGATACAGGACAGGGCAAACAATTCTACACGCAGCATTTGGAAGGTTAAGTTCAACCCAAAGTTACGCCGCTTGGGTCTTCACACACTGTTTATCAACATCTTAAGCATGTTATCGTTGGATATACGGTACTAGTGAGGATTTTAAGTAGGAAAGACGTGTATAACATGTGGTGGGGATGTAGGGACAGGGCAAACAATTCTACACGCAGCATTTGGAAGGTTAAGTTCAACCCAAAGTTACGCCGCTTGGGTGTTCACACACTGTTTATCAACAACTTAAGCATGTTATCGTTGGAAATACGGTACTAGTGAGGATTTTAAGTAGCAAAGACGTGTATAACATGTGGTGGGGATGTAGGGATTGTCACTGCAAAAGGTCCCCTTCAGCCCTTGTTAGGCTCAAGTCTGGAAAAATAAATGACACGGTTCTGCCAGCATTCCTCGTGGGACGGTTTGCAAGCCAAAAACAGGCACAACAAAGAACCCTCACAACGCACAGAGCCAACGGCGTTTTTAGATAATGAGAAAAACATATACGAGTGTTTTGAAAAATAAGCGTCGTCTTGCAAAACAACAAAATGACGATGCTACGCTGTAAGGTAAACTGGATAGAGACATTCCGTGCGTTGTTCTAACGGCCACTTTGGGGTTATGTGACGGTCGCACGCTTTAGAAATACACAGAAGCCGCGATGAGAGATCACTCTACGCAAACCTGTTTTTACTACAACCAAAACAACCAAGAATCAAAGTCCTACAATATTTTGAAATTTGATGAGGAAGGTTAGCGACTTACCTTGGCCAAGCGCTGCGCAAGGAAGGAGAAGGAGGAACAGAATAGTCTCCATTGTTTCTCCGCTCGTTGTCCTCTATGTGGTGTTCTGCGCTCCTCTCTGAGGACGGATCCGTTTCGCTGGCGGGCACCCTGGCTTTAGACCACGTATTTAGGGGTCGCGGGTTCGAATCCTATTGGTGCGAAGCGGCAAGTCCCTTCGGTACAAGTACGTGATAGAACCATGCAAACGGGATGGGGGGAAGGAGAAGAGGGGTTAGTTCATTAGACCCATGACGACAACGTTGAGTGGAAGCGCTTCGGATGAAATATTTGGTCGTTGCTATATACGGACGATGTTAGCCTGGTATCCAGTCTTACGTGATTGGGGGTATTGGGGTGTTCGGGCAGGTTGTGCCTTCGGGGGCTCTAATAGCTTCCCCCGCCCAGTGCAAAAGGCCGTCCCGGTAGGAGTTTTCCGCTAATAAGAGACAGTATGCTCTCGTGAAATACACACCGGGAAACCTATGTGAGGCGGGCGGGACAGAGCTCTTGCGGCCCCGTCCACGAAGCAGACTGGATACCAGGCTAGGACGATGTATAAATACCGTATTTGGGAGCTGGTGTTGCGGCCGACAGTTCCATTTTACGACAGCGACATTTTACGACGTTTTGACATTGCAGCAGTGGACTGATAAGATACGAAGAAAGTTTTTCTAAGATAAATTTTATTAATATAACATCATAACCACCATCATAATACATAGTAATCAGCATTAACATTCATCGTAATTCCACATCATCCAATCAAATATTATAATAATAATACATCATAGTAAACTAATTAACTAATTTTAAGTTATACAAGTGACCTCAATGATAAGTTTCTGTCGAAAAGCATCAAAATATATTTCGATCTTTTGCAATGTTGGCAAGGCCATGTTGATTTGATTATATGGATGACATCCGTGCGCATGAATTGTCAGTCGTTTCCAAAAAAAAAAAAAAAAGAAACTTGAAAAAAAAAAACATTGGAAAACGATACCAATGTCGTAGAATGCCACAAAATGCCGAAAATGTAAAGAAATGGATTTGAAGACTAGATTATTCGCCAAACCATACTCTGTGTCATTTGTTTAACCTTTAAAACCACGTAGATTTCATAATGAAATTTAAAGCTAAATAACATTGGAAAGAAATTATTTTGGTGCATGATAAGCAGGTTTGCGTGGCTTTCAGTGGTGCTTGTCTATTGGCCCGTTGTTAATCTAATTTGGCTTAATTACCGCAAATTCAAATTTTGCTGACAAGGTGCCACTGGCACCTGTGCGTGAAACACACCGTTCCAAGATGGCGACCGTGCATGGCAGCATGAAGAAAGCCCTGGAAAAATTCAGCCTCAAAAGACGCCCCACGTCCGCTTTGGGTGGTAAGCTGCACTTTACATTGTCTTAGAGACTCTCCGGACTATTGTAGTTAAACCACCGTGAAGTGAAATGGAGCAAAAACATAGAATTTCGTCAATAACTTGCGGTATCTGTCCTTGGAGTTCAATGTTGCACTTAGACAGCCAACCGCTGGGGGCGCTGTTGTGTGGTCCATTGAGAATTTAACCGCTGGCCTGGAAACCTTCGTTTGAAAGTGTGTTGAAAATTCCCGTTTTGACGGAATTTGACGCGTTTTGCTTAAAAAAAAATGTTCCGGGACCAGCAACTAGCGACAGATACTCAATAGTGTGGTTTTGAAGAAGATGACATGAACAAGATTGACACAGGAGAGGAGAGAGACGGTGGTAAGGATTTAATTGGGGAGGGGGGCGGTAACAGAGTTGTTACGCAGCAAATCATATATCCAGGGGGTATTCTTTTCCCTCTTCTTTGCTTGCTGGATCTACTTTTCTGGGTACAAAGGTACCAGTGATGCCTCCTGTTAAGGGTGGAAGTCAAGCGTCGTATTAACACTCCTTGTCCACAGCACTTAAAGTCAGATCTACAAAACGAGTAGATTTAGTAACTGTTGTAATTTACTTATGGTTCTTGTTCCACAACTTGGCACAAGTCTTTATTAAACCTTTTACGGTATCTTGACTGTGTCTTGTCATTTTCTTGCTTCGTGGTTGTCTCGATGATCCAGAATTGATTTTCCAAGCTTGTAAAATAAGAGGTGTTCTTATTTTCCACTTTTATATGTCTTTCATATCTAGTGTTGTTAGGCAAAAGTGTCCATCTAACAAAACTGGTGCGCGAGGGGGAATAAAAAAAAATTCTGGCCAAAAATAAAAATGCTACAAAACCACAGGAATTCAAATCAGGAATTTGGGGCAGTAACGTTACATAGATATATACTAGTAGGTCAAGCCTGCACATGCAGGCTTTTTGTGGAATTTATGAATCGGCATTGTACATAGGAACTGAGATCTTGAGCCCTGGAGCTTTGGCAGCCTGGTTACCACAGGCTCCATATTGTCAGCAACCTGTGCAGGTGTTCAGTACTGATGCAATGAGACTTGTAATGACAGGGACACAGGTGTTAGACCAGGTAAGAAAAATTTGAATTCAGCATTTTACCTACAACTATTTGGTGTTAGTATGTATTTGAGACATTGTGTAACTTGTCTGTATATGTCTTGTCTGTATATGGCTGCTGACTGACACAGTTACAAGTGAGGACTCCTGTCTGAACCTGACAAGACAGATTGGACCAGACTGGTTGATTTGATGAAGACCCAAGATGAATATCAGGTGAGAAAAATCTGAATTCTGCATTTTACCTACAGATATTTGGTGTTATTTGAGACAAGTGTGTAACTTGTAATGTCTGTATAGTTAGGTTGTAACAGTGCTAACTGACCATGCTGAATGGTCGTGCGACCTTTTAGTGTAGTGGTTAGCGTTGGTGACCGCCAAGCGGACAACTCGGGTTCGATTCCCGGTTGTGACCTGCTCGCCCCTTTCGGTTTTTACAGTGGTTCCCATGCCGGCCCTGTGAGTGGCTGCTGACTGATGCAGTAGTGAGGGCTCCTGTCTGAACCTGACAAGACAGACTGGACCAGTCCAGATGATTTGATGAAGACCCAAGAGGAATATCAGGTGAGAAAAATCTGAATTCTGCATTTTACCTACAGATATTTGGTGTTATTTGAGGCAAGTGTGTAACTTGTAATGTCTGTATATTTAGGTGTCTGCTGACTGAGGCAGTAGTGAGGACTCCTGTCTGAACCTGACAAGACAGACTGGACCAGACCAGATGATTTGAAGACCCAAGAGGAATATCAGGTGAGAAAAATCTGAATTCTGCATTTTACCTACAACTATTTGGTGTTATTTGAGACAAGTGTTTAATTGTACTGTCTGTATAGTTAGATGGCTGCTGACTGATGCAGTAGTGGGGACTCCTGTCTGAACCTGACAAGACAGACTGGACCAGACAAGATGATTTGAAGACCCAAGAGGAATATTAGGTGAGAAAAATCTGAATTCTGCATTTAACCTACAGCTATTTGGTGTTATTTGAGACAAGTGTGTAACTTTTCATGTCTGTATAGTTAGGTGGCTGCTGACTGATGCTGTAGTGAGGACTCCTGTCTGAACCTGACAAGACAGACTGGACCAGACCAGATGATTTGAAGACCCAAGAGGTCAATATCAGGTGAGAAAAATCTGAATTCTGCATTTTACCTACAACTATTTGGTGTTATTTGAGACAAGTGTGTAACTTGTAATGTCTGTATAGTGAGGTGTCTGCTGACTGATGCAGTAGTGAGGACTCCTGTCTGAACCTGACAAGACAGATTGGACCAGACCAGATGATTTGAAGACCCAAGAGGAATATCAGGTGAGAAAAATCAGAATTCTGCATTTTACCTAGTATCTATTTGGTGTTATTTGAGACAAATGTATAACATCTAAACTCAGTGCCTTTGGAATCTTCGGCTCTACAGCTAAATGGTTCCGATCGTACCTCTGTGAGCGATCTCACTGCACAGTTGTTAATGGACAAACATCCAATTTCTGTAATGTTGATTGTGGAGTGCCGCAAGGCTCCATTTTGGGACCGCTTTTGTTTGTAATGTATGTAAATGATATGCCAAAATGCATACAACACTGCAAAATTGCTTTATATGCTGATGACACTGTGGTATACTTCAGCCATCCTGACTTGGAAACCATACAAAGGGCTCTTCAGTCTGATATGGACCGTCTTCATCACTGGTTTGTGGCTAACTGTCTTTCTGTCAATGCCAAGAAGTGCAAAGCCATGCTTATTGGCACATGGCATCGGCTTAGGGGAAAAGACCAGTTACAAGTATTAATGAATGGAAACCCCCTTGAAGTAGTCCCGGCTTTTAAATACCTTGGTGTAATTGTTGACAGCGAACTGAAATGGGATTTTCATGTTATTCATGTTCTGAGTAAACTAAAGCGTGCGCTTGTAATAATGCGTCAGGTCCAACCTTTTGTCACACAATCTGCACTTGTCACCTTGTATAACACCATATTTTTACCACACTTAACTTATGCCTGTACTGTCTGGGATGGTGCCATTTCGGTACAATATGATAAGATGCAAAGAATGCAGAACCGCGTAGGAAAATTGATCTTGAAAGCCCCGTACAGAACACCATCGCGGGAAGTCCTCTCTCGTCTGGGATGGAAGTCCGTGAGAAGTCTACATCGTCAACATAAAGCCATGATAGTGTATAGGGCCTTGGACAATTCTTTACCACCATATATGCGAGGGGTGTTCATCCGGTATAGAGACGCAGCCTCCAGATCCACCAGACAGAGCACTTTGGACAACCTCATCATACCGAGGCCCCAACTGGAAGTGTACAGGCGGTCACTGAGGTACTCGGGGGCGACTGTGTGGAACTCCTTGCCACCACATGTACGAGCAGCCCAGTCATTGGGAACATTTAGAAGTATGATAAGGAACTTGGACTGATAACGGACTGATGATTTACTATTTATTTTTGTATTATATTTTGATTTGCACTTTGTTTTGATTTTGTATTATATTTTGGTTTGATTTGTAATCCGTGACCCCGCCCTCACCCTCGACCTTGTTGAAAAGCGGTCATTTGTAACCGAACAAGCTTTCGAGTTTAAATAAAGGCTTACTACTACTACTACTCTAATGTCTGTATAGTTAGATGGCTGCTGACTGATGAAGTAGTGAGGACTCCTGTCTGAACCTGACAAGACAGATTGGACCAGACTGGGTGATTTGGGGACAGAGATGAGAGCTCAGCAAACCAAATGACTTGAAGTTGAAGACAGAGTGAAGAGTTTGTACAGGTGAGACAATGCTTTACAACTTTTTTTTTCTATATGTTAAGAACTGAGTGGCAATAACATACTGCAAAAATTGAATGGACTTTTAACACTGTGTACATATGTATCTAATATTCATAGGCACA